CGAATTACCACGTAAGATGCGAACGCATCCCACGTTTTACGTTGGTCGGCTTAAGCCGTACCATCAGTACGCTGCTTCTTCCGATGAAGAACGCCCTTGCGCTCAAGCATCTCGCAGAGAGCCTTGTGCTCCCGATGGTGGGCATCATCAAGGGTCTGAAGAGCAGTTATCTCAGCCCGAGACCGATCAACAATCCCACGAGCTACCCTTAGCTCGTCACGAAGAGATGTCAGAGATCTCTCGTTCTCGAGCTGAGCAAAGGCAAACTCAGCTCGATGCTTCGAGGCAGTGTCCGCCATTTGGAGACGCCTATTCCGCTCATGTTCGAGATCGTCGCGTAACCCTTGCGTTACGCGATCAAAGAAGCTCTCGGGAACACACGGATCCCCATGATCGTGTGGAGAGCGTCTTTCCTCCTCCTCCACCTCCATTAGAGGACTCTCGCGGTGGCCAGCGCTATCTAGTTGAGCAGCTGTTGAACCACCGCGACGTGAACGGACGTCGGACGAGTTATCTCGTCCGATGGCGCGGCTATCCCCCGTCCTGGGATTCTTGGGAGCCCCGCTACCAACTGATGATCGACGTACTGGGTCTGGTTGAGCAGTACGACGCGGCACATCCTGTGCCGCAGAAGGACCGCCGGAGAAAGTCTTCCCGGCACGGTCGTAAAGGTATTTCAAGTTGTCAATCCCTTCGTACATCTCAGTAGAGACACGTACGCGCCACCACGGGCTGGTAAGGAGGTAAGCCTCCTTAGGTGCTCGTGCAGAGTTGTTCACACAACATGGGCACGAGTCTCCCCAAGAGAGGCAGGGTAATCCTTTCTCCCTTGACAGACGATGCAGCTTGTAGCGTGCACCTGTCGGGGTTCGCTTTTCAAACTTATCACGAGCTTTGATAAGTTTGTCGTTCCAAGCGTCACGACCTACATCCTCGAGGTTATGGATGTAGGCGTTCCACGCCTGAAGTAGTGAGGGACCATCACGTTTGTGATTCCCACTGTACCATCGATGTCTAAAGAAAGCATCGATGAAGAATTCATGTTTGGCGCGATAGTTTTTCGCGCTGGGGTCAAGGTGATGGATCCTTGACGAATCGAACAATCGTGTTCGATAACGATCACTCGTCGTCGCCGACAAGTGATCCATGACGGATTTAGGAGGCATCCATGCCTTCTTTTCTGGAGCGAGACGCAACACATTGCGGTCCCGCTCTTCCTGCGACGTGCCGACAGAAGTACTGGCACCTCGCTGTGAAGTGGTATCCATAGGAGAACCGGCACCACTGTTAGCGCCCGAGTCTCGCGACCTCGAGCGCCTTCGCTTCGGCGATGGTTCATCTGATTCATCAGATGAACCAAAGATGCTGCGGCGCAAAGCATCGTCCATGCCACGCTTGGCAGGCGGCTTAAATTCAATCGCCGTCGATACGGATCCGTCATCCGTATCAGGAGAGTACGAGACACCGAGCTCGTACTCTGTGAAGACACGAGTGTCTTCATGACCAGCGCCTGCATCACCAAGTGACACAGGCTGGGTCGCTTCAGCAACCGATGAGACATCAGTTGCTGTTGTTTCTGCTTCGGCGTCCGTACAGAGACGTGCGGACGCGCTCTCGGCGGCCTTGCTCGCGCATCGCATGGTCTTGTTAACCGTACTATGAGGTGTTGGAAAGTGGACGCGGACCAACAAGTGCAAACCCTGTCCCAAATAATTTGGGACGAGTATCCATTTAGTCAATCAGTCACTAAAGTGACTGATGGTTAAGGGGGGTGATGTAACGGGGTGAATCGTTACATAACAATTTATAAGAAATTGTTAATAGAACATAACTATAAGAGTTATATTCTCAGAATATTGTCATAAGGACAAATATTCTGTAGCACTTACGAGTAGTTCCTAATTGGTTGATATAGGCCATTATATCAACCAACGAAGACGCGCCACGACAGACGCACGCAATGAGTGGTGAGCAGATAATTGATTTACACATTTGTATTTAGACATAGTTAGATGAAGATAAATAGTGATTTATTGCAGACATTAACTATACTAAATACAGTTCTACTTTTTACTTTAGCCAAGTACTCGCTTCTTCTTACCGTCTTCCTCTGCACGTACGAGTGTACGTGAAGTTACGAGGCACCGCCTTATTCTGTCATCAGAATAAGTAGCTTGTACTGTCACCAGTACAAGCTTCAGGGTGCCCCGTTACAGATTTACACATTTGTATTTAGACATAGTTAGATGAAGATAAATAGTGATTTATTGCAGACATTAACTATACTAAATACAGTTCTACTTTTTACTCTAACCGAGTACTCGCTTCTTCTTACCGTCTTCCTCTGCACGTACGAGTGTACGTGAAGTTACGAGGCACCGCCTTATTCTGTCATCAGAATAAGTAGCTTGTACTGTCACCAGTACAAGCTTCAGGGTGCCCCGTTACACCTGGTAGCAATTCGTAGTCCGTCCAAGGACCGCGTTCACATCCAACATGAATATGTTGGATGATGAAGATGACCAAAGCTTTCACGCTACTGTGGTGAAGTCGATCTCACAAAATTGCTTGTATGAGTGTCGATCTTCCACTTGCCCAGACTTGCCGACTCACGGAGGGGGTACTCCGATCCGTGCCTTGTTGTATGACCTTGTGCTCACCTTGTGTACCCGTCGGTTGGGCTGGCTTGAGCTCTTCGTAACGGCCTTGGGAGATGTCGATCTCGCTGAGAGGTTGGGTTGAGGGTTCGCTTCCGGTGCGGAAATCTTCACACCACGAACGGGGGTTCTGCGATCCCGATCTTGGATCGCACCGATCTTGATTTGTCTTCGAGATCGGGGTCTTTGCTGTGCGGAAATCTTCACTCAGCAAATAAAAGTCCTGCGTCGATCTTGCCTTGGGATCGGTCCGATCTGGTCTTGGGATCGGCCGATCTTGCCGGAAGTGCGCAATTTGGGTAGATCGGTGTCTTGTTTCGCCAAAATGAAACGTGCCGATCTGTCCAGGGGATCGCTTCGATCCTGCTCGGTCTTGTCTTGAACGCCTTGTCCAGATCTTCTGACCACTTGAGCCGTCTCGCGATCTTGTGTCCAAAATCCTTTTCCTTTTCCGTTGTGTGCTGCTACCCTAGCAGTTGAGTTGAGTGTGAGTACTTGGTCGATCCGGGCCAGATATCCCGGGATCGCTCTTCTCGATCTTGGCCAACAATCCAAGATCGGTCTTCTGTGTCCCTGTAACACGCGTGCCTTAACCCGCCGGGGAAGCCAAATCAATCTTGCCTGGAGAAGAGGGGGGGATAACGTGCGTCGTGAGCAGAAGAAGTAGAGTTCAAGTCTGTTTATTAACCAACCAAATTACTATCCAACCTACCCTTAAGCCTATTCTTAACTATAGGTCACTCTTCAAACCGATATCGCCTTGAATCTGGATCACCCCCTTGCCACGTGTCGAAATCTCGTGCCCTGTACTCCAATAATAGCGCCAATATTCCCGATACCGTACCTGAACGCCAAAAGAGGACCAAATCCCAAATGGGGTACCAAATACCCATTTTTGGTACCCAAAAGCCCAAAATAGTGCCCAAATGCCGAAGGCGTCTAAATCCATTTTGCGACGTCAATTTAACCGGCTTCCACTGGCTCTTTCGATCTGAACTTTTGAGACATCACTCATGGACCTTCAACAAGCATGTTTGTCATGATCCAAAATTCTCATCAACGATACATCCATAATCAGTGGGGATCATGACCGATCTGATGCCCAATTCGAGATTGTTGAGGATCGACACAGTACAATCCGGCCATATATGTTCTTCCGTTCATTGTGTGCACTCCGATGCTTTATCAAAATGATTCTGCTTCAACATCCACATCCTTGCCTCTGATCAGCCTACAGAGTGGTCGTTCGGTTCAATCCAGTCCCTCATCCCAGATCGCACCGTGGAAATCACCCCTTGCTACGCCCCGTCTCAAACCACGTCGCATCGCCTGGTCCCAGGCGTACTTTTCTTAAATGATTCTGCTTCAACATCCACATCCTTTCCTTTGATCAGCCTTTAGAGTGGTCGTTCGGTTCAATCCAGTCCCTCGTCCCAGATCGCACCGTTGGAATCACCCCTTTCTACGCCCCGTCTCAAATCACGTTGCATCGCCTGGTCCTAGGCGTACCTCTTCCGCCAGTGGGTGACATCTTAACTGGGTGGAAACCGATCCACGTCCCATCATTTGATTAGTGACTTTACCACAGTTACACCTTCGTCGCAGAGTCATATCCCATCACCCGGTCCCAGATCCTTGTCCCAGATTGTTCCATGTAAATCGTTCCAGATCGCTCCGTCCCAGGTCGATCCATACCCATTAGTCTAACGACAGTTGGATCGGTTCGCCGATCCCGTTAAGATCATCTTCCACCTCCGTATTGGATCGCCGAGTCTCATGGCCTCCTTTTCCACCAGTAAGCGGCGCTTTAAAGGTGTGGCCACCGACCTCGTACAAAATTTGAGTAGTGACTAAGCCACAACCGCCCCCTGTACTGAAGTCTTTTGTACAGCAATTGACCTCAGTACAGTCACTCATCAACTTCGTTCCAAGCACTCAAGTCCGTCTCATGGCCTCTCCGACGCATCCACCCACCTCGGCGATCTCTTCAGAAGGATCAACCATGTTTCTGTCTCGCCTATTGGGATCATCCCGGATCGCAGATCCCTCGTCTGCAGGACAAGTTCAAACCTGCTCCATCGTCTTAGTCCAAGGTCGATATCCAAGCCCGATCGTCTTTCATAATCGTGTAAGTCATTCAATCATCTTCTTTTTTGGTACTTCAATTCTTTGCAGCTTCCACGATCTCGATCCTCATCGCTCCACATCATTCAGGAAGGTAATTCACTTGACTATCTCCATACTCACATACAAAAACCTCATCCACCAGCATGTGCTACCGTCTAGCACATCTTTCAACCCCTACATCCGCATATGCTACCTCCCGCATACTTGTTCGAACTGTTAAGGTTCGTCCGACTTGCCTTCATGAGACTGCATTACGTCGAAACGGTTTCGACTCACTCGGTTCCGCTCAAACTCTTGCAAGATCGCCCCACAACGTAGATCGGCCTCGTCCACCCAACTTAGATCGGGATATCCCTTCCACTTCACCAGAAACTGCCGGTGTACTCGCCCATAACGGGTTTTTCTACCAGATCGCACGTCCAATATTGCCTCTACTTCGTATTCCCCTTCTTCAAGATCGCCATCCCAACTGTCTTCTGGCAGCAGAGCTTCATCGAAATCCAAGCGATCTGATTCCTCTATCGTAAGCTGATCCTTCGGGCGTTCAGGGAACGTCTTTACCTTTTTAGCTTCGATATATGTACAATCGGAAATAACCGATATGGGGTTCCAGCGATCTCCAATTTTACAGCATGATCTCCACATACGTCCGCAACTCGGAATGGCCCATGCCACATGTGCGCTAGCTTCTTCGCATATCCCTCTTTAACTCGGTCCAGGTATAGCCAAACTTGCGCTCCTACTTCGATCTCGTGTGGTTCCAGATCTTCGTTGTATCGATCTGCTCGCTCCTGGATCGCGGCTTGTAAACGATCGTTCACTGCAGATCGGGCTCGCAGGTATTGTCTTTGGATTTTGTATCTCCACCTCTTTGGATCGCGATCTCGTGTCCCCGTATTCCCCACTGGTAGCGTAGCCTCCAAAGTCGATCGCGGGTCCCACCCATGAATCAGATAAAACGGGGTATTCCCCCGGATCCGATCTTGTGCAGTGTTAATGGCAAAGGTGAGCCGCTCAGCATACTCATCCCAGTCTCGCTGGTCAACTTCAGCCACGTACATCTTGAGCGAATGTGTCAGGGTTTGCACCATTCGTTCGGCTGTTCCATTTGCTTGTGGCCTGTAAGCCATAGTAGCACGATGTTTTTGTCCTACGATCCGACTGAAGGCTCGAAAGAAGTCGGACATAAATCCCGGTTCTCGATCGTGCCTGATAGCCTCGCTAGCTCCGAAGCGTCGAAACACACATTCTTCGTAATTCTCCGCTATTGTTTGTGCCGTCCGAGAGGAGCTAGCCTTTGCAATCACATATCCCGAGAAAAGGTCGACCCAAATGAGCAGTTCGGTGTTCCCCTTGATGGACTTGGGCAACGACGGTATATGATCCATGGCGATGATCTGGAATGGATAGGTTGCGTGTAGATTGCCCAGGGATTTCCCATGAATCATCGGGTTTCCTTTCCCGGTCTCACAGTCGGTACATTCGCCCACATATCGTTGAACGCTCCGATACAGTCCTATCCAATGAAATCGCGATCTGATCCTCTGATAGGTTCGGCCAATACCCTGATGGCCTCCTTCCAGACTCGTGTGATAGTGATGCAAAAAATCCTGCTGCAACGTCTCAGGGATCACCAACCGCATCAAACCATCGCGATCTTCCGACTCTCTTTTCGCCATGGGGCAAAAAAATAGCAGATTGTTCTCATCGATCTCGTATTCCGGCGCCAGTTTGGCGCACATCTTCACTTCTACCGCATCCAAGTTTAACACATCGCCACTTAGATATGTCTTGAGATTGACAATCCAACGCTCTTCATCTTGAGCTTGGACAATTCGTTGAATCCTGATCCTCTGTACTATCTCCTCCTGTATCACTTCAGGTTCATGACGTATCCTCCTGGCTGATCTCGTGATCGCAGTTACCCGAGCCAGCTGACCATCTTGCTTGGGCTTCAACAGTTCATCGAGACGGTTCAGAGTCATCAGATCTTGCCGATCCTCTTCAGCTACAACCGTTCTTCCCTTTTCGCTCTGCAATGCTGTGCTGGCTAGTCGATCTGCGCTCTGATTCCACTCTCGCTTCACATGCAGAAACTCGTGACTAGGCCATGACCGCAGCTCCTCCAACGCTTTGTGTCTCAGAAGCTGAAGGCCCGGTGCCTTGCAGTCGATCTCACCGCGCATCTGTCGAATCACCAGACTGGAATCTCCACACAGTATTACTCGCCCCCTATCCAGATCGGCGAGTAACTCAAAGCACAGTAGAAAGCCATTATACTCAGCTTCATTCACAGTCAGATCGTGAACATATCTCGATTCGGCCGCCACGATCGTCCATTCGGGTAACTTCCATATCACGGCACTGAACGACCCTCCTTTCTTTTTTATCCTAGCCGATCCATCGAAACTGGCCACCAGCAACTCCTCATCTGTTTCCACCGTTGGAGGAGGCATCGATATTTTGAGTCGACAGTCTTTTCGTGGGGAGATCGCAATCAGCATCTCTTCCACTTCTCCTCTCGGAGTGATACTCGCTGCTAACATGCCCAGGATCTCTTCCTCTCCTCTTTCACATTTCTTCACCTCCATAGTCCAATTTGACAACAAAGCAGCCCACCGTCCTATTCTCCCGTTGAGCCCTCGAGACTGCATCAACCAGGCTAACGTAGAATGTCGGGTCAGTACAGTGATCTCCCGCGAGGCAAGCGTAGTATAGCATACATCCAACACACGAAGTAGCGCCAGCACTTCTTTTTCTACTGTTCCGTAGTTAAGCTCATTAGGCTTTAAAGTGCGGCTAGTAAACGTAACCGGATGATAAACGCCATCGTACTCCTGTATCAGGGCCGCTGAGACAGCCCACTTGCTAGCGTAGACCACGATCACGGGAGGGCGATCTGGGTCGAAGTGTTTGAGCATGGGAGCTGTAGCTATCTTAGCCTTTAGCATAGTGAAAGCAACCTTGGCTTCTGTCCATCGACCCTCGTTGGAGCATTCGTCTCCTGCTGCAAGCTGAGATCGGCCGATCTCGAAGAAATCCGATTCTCTTAACTCATACAACACCGCGGCGTACACCGCGAAGTCCTCAATGAAACGGCTGTAGTAGTTCAAGCTCCCGAGAACAGATTGCATAGCTCGCAGCGTGCTAGGGAACGGGATGTTGACCAACGACTCCAAGTTCTTGGGCTGAGCCTCCAGACCATCTATCGACACTCGATGTCCCAAATAATCGACCTTACGGCACCCCCAAAAGCTCTTCGTGAGGCTGATAGACAGATTCCACTTATCACATGCCTCCAGCAACCGTTCTACTTTTGTGTACAAAGATCCCCATGACGTGGCTGGTATGAGAATATCGTCAATGTACGATCGGCGTCCCAGTATAGACGGTCGTCGATCTGTCTCAGGTTCTCCATCTTTGAACACGTCGATCGGGCCATTAGAGGCTGATCTCTGGCCGAACTTGAGATATCCATACAGCGCATTGTCAACCAGACGTTGGTAGATATGGGGCGCGTTCTTAAGCCCAAAAGGCATTCGCAGCCAATCGAACAAGCCAAACGGTGTGACAAACGCTGAGATCAGTTTTGCTCGTTCAGTCATTTCGACGACCCGAAATCCACTAGCCATGTCTAGCGAACAGTACCATAGAGCTTTATCCAGATCTTCCAACAGATCGCTGATCAACGGCATGGGATAAACCATCAGACGCGTCAGCTGGTTAACTCTTCGATAATCAATGCAAAGGCGAATATCCACTCCGTTCTTCTTGATGATCACCACTATCGGAGACGCTCAAGGTGACGTGGATGGCTGAACGATTTTGGCTGCTAATAGTCCTTTGATGAGATCTGACAGCTTCTCCCGATATTTGGGTGCGACCGGACGCACTCTTTGCGCTATCGGTGCTGCCCCACCGACATCAATATCACAGATCGCGCCTCGTGCTGCTGGTGGTAGAGCATTACCTTTACCCATGAGGAGGTGACGGCTCTTCCAGATCAGCGATCTGAGCCGTTGTTGATCTGTGGTGAGAGGCACATCGGGATCACCGATCTGAATGTCCTCAATCGTAACTTCTTCCGTAGTCGCCGACATCTCTGGTAGCACGGCCATATGCTGCTCGATATCTTCCGCAAACAAATCTCCGCTCTCGTGGTAATAAACTGGTATTTCTGCAATCTCGACGTCTTCAGTATTTAGCATTATTTCTTCTTTAGGCTCCTTCGTCTCTTCCGGCTGGCCCAATTTCAACAGTCGGTCAGTCGGCTCAGCCTTCGGTAGAGACGATCTGTCACGTAGCCCTTCTTGCCCGGTGTCGCGGTCTCCCTTCGTTGCATGTTGGGTACCGATCTCATGACCGTTCTCCATCCGCGATAGTTCGGCTCCCCTGACCGTTACTTCCCTCGCAACTACAGCATCTGCCTTTTGCGAATCGTCATCGTTAGCTTGCGGCGTTACCGTGGAGATCGCCGGAGACAGGTTCTGTAACGCATCAGACGGACGTTTCAAGATGCGTTTGGGAGCGGCATACGTAGGACGATCTACCAATGGTCCGATCGGTTCTTTCGGGAGTTCGTTCACTCGATCCGTCGTAGCCTCATATGCCAGAGTTTGCCATTCCTTGTACTTCCCCGACCCGACTGTCACCAAACCTTGGGTTCGCGGTACCATATCGCCTTCGACCCACATGCCTAATATAGTGTGGGTGGGCAGTATGATCTCACGGTCGCCAATGTTGGTCATCTGCAGGTATTTCGTCTTACCCCACCCCGAGATCACAGTGGGGACCCAATCTAGTCCTCTAGCGACCCACAACTTCATCTTAGCCCCTCCGATCCCGATCTTCACTTCCCTTGACTCTCCGACCGGGATCACCACGTGTTGGTCCTTCGCCGTTATATGTTGTATCTTCGATCCGTACGCGGGGCGACGTCCTGCGAGATGAATGCGGATTTCTTCTGGTAGACATAGCGCGCCATCCGCTAGATCGAGCCGCACTCCAGCCGGCACCATAAAATCCATACCCAGAATCGCTTCTTGCCCTGCCAGATCGCCTACCCATACATTGAAATAGTATACCAGCGATCCCGCGAGGGTCACCTTGATCTTGGTACGTCCTACCGTCATGTACGGAGTTTCTCCAATCCCGATACATTCTTGTCGTTGACTTTCGTCAATATTGCAACCGACCTCACGAGCAAAGGTGGTGTCAATGATCGACACTTCAGCACCAGAATCAAATAACAGAGTAGCTTTTACGTTGTTGATCTTGCCAACGGCTTTCGCTTGTTTGAACCACTTCCCGGGTGAATAATGTTTCCAGTATCCGCGAGATTCACCATAAGCGAGCTCGATCTCCATAGCTGGTTCAGATCGTGAGTACTCATCGATCCGCTTCAGATGGGACACGGAAGCGACACGTTTTAACTTCGAACGAGATATATTTGTTTCCACGTCAATATCCTGCTTACTCTCGCGATCTGTCTTCTTTTTTTCCACGTATGCAATAATGCAGAGCCCAGAACGCTCGGCTCGTACCAGATTCAAACCTGGCGAGCGTCCTAGTTTAACATCTTCTCGGCCTTCTCTGGTAGCATCCCCACATGCTTATTCGGGACGTACCACTGACGGATCATGTTGTAGAACTCCTCCATGGGACACTTCCCCGGGTCGTGCATCTCACCGCAAGCACGACACACGAAAAAACAATTGTCAGAGGGGTGTCCTTTACGCCCACACTTCTGGCAAGTGAGCTGCTTCCAGCAACCGAGATCTCCATGCTTGGTCGATCCGCAATGAGTACACGGCTTCAATGGCATATTGCGATCTTGATAGTCTTGACGAGTGTTCGGGTCGACCGATCTCGCGTTTGCTGCAACGTCATTGGGGGATGAACGGCGATCCGCAGTAGCAGCCACATGGATCGATCTCAATCGATCTTCCAAATCCGATCCGCAGGTGTCCGATCCTGACTCGCTGCACACGTCCTCGGTACGGACCATCCTTACCGCTCGTGCAGGTTTAGACAGCGCTGGACCCTGAGTTCCCTTCTGCCTGAATTTGGACGATCCCATCATCACTTTCCCTTGACGCGATCTCCCTTGTTGATATCCGTGCAGTGTCTTTTGCATGGCCTCCGCGTCTTCTACATTCAGCAGTAGCAATTGATTGGACAGATCGGGGTCGTCCAAGGTGTCAATGAAATGATTGACATGTTCCTTGCGCGCAGCTGGCAATCCAGTCATCACCGGTATCTTCGCCTGCATTCCCATCACATTAAGCCGATACAGGTACTGTAAAGGATCTTCCTCCGATCGTTTCTTTGCATGGTAGTACTGCCTGCTCGCGGACATCCCGTGTCCCGCATACTCCACAAGAAAACTGTTCATCAATTCTTTCCAATTGAATCTCGTCGATCTACTCAGCTGTCGGTACCAGTAGCGGGCTGGGCCCACCATGAGATCACCGAAGACCAGACATCTCTCCTCGTCCGGTGCTTGGTCCCGGATAAACGCTGATTTCACTTTGCCGATCCAGGTCCGTGCTTTGTCTTCTTCCCGATCCTTCCCTGAGAATTCTTTCAGCTCAGAAATCGCTGAGATTCTGATCCTCTGCGTGATGCTTCCCCCTCCGGTAGTCGCACCGGTCGCGGCTACATGAGGGCGCCGTGGTTCGGGCATCCATAGATCATCCGGGTCGTATTCCGCCGCCTCATGGATATGTTGGTAAATGTCCGACCCCACCGACTCCATCTCCACATCCAGCATGTCAAGGCTTTCGTGTGAAGGTTGGAGCAAAGTACGTCGATCTGGGTAGCGGTTTGGCTGTCGATTCATTCGCTGAGCTGTACGTTGATCCGCCTCGTACTTCTTCATGGCTGAATTGAAGTACCGACTTAGATCGCCCTCTTCTTGATCCTCCAGCCCAGTGCGGGTACTGGCCGATCTCTGCGGCATGTTGCTCTTGGCTTGTCCCTTATAGGCGTCGATCTTGGCTTGTCTGATCTTGTCCTTTAAGAACCTTCCACCCGATGGTCCTAGAGACATCTGACGAATGCTGATGGATCCATCTGACTCGCTCTCGGAGTCATCCGAGGCGTAGCGGGGCGATCCCGCGGGGTGTTTACAGAGCGAGCCCGAGGGCGTCCCGATCTTGTCTTCAGGAGTATTCGCTTTGCCCACCAGCATTATCACGATCTCTACAAACTCATTCGCCGCGTCCTTCAACTGTTCCAAGCTGCAACTCAGCAGTTCATCTCCATCAAAAGCGTCAGGGCAGATACCCATGTCGTCCAACATCTGCAAAATCACATTGATCTCGTCGACTTTGTTGGTCCCGTGAAGTGGGACCGAGATCGGCTTATCCAGAGGACCAATCACCTTGGGCCTTAATATCTTGAACACTGGGTCCGTCTTGAGCAGCGTCTTCAACTGGCCATAATAGTACTGCCATTTTGCACGCTCCCGCGCTTCACCCGTCGTCTCCTTCTCCATGGACGCGATCTTTATTGGGTTATGTTCCGTCTTTGGCATCGCGATCTTATCTGGTGTTTCATCGTATTCCTCTTTGGCTCCGATCTTCGATTGCACGGTTCGGCCGATCTGGCGATCTTTGACATCTGATCCCATCGACCTCGTCGCGGATCGTTCTGATGTGGTCGATCTCGCGATTGTGCTCTTCGGCTTGAGGTCGGGCGATCTATCGACTGAGACATAGGGTTTGGCTTTCGCCAATTTGGTTTTCACCATTGGATTTTCATCCAGCAGATCGCTCTTTGCAGAGCGATCTGCGGTGGCCCCCGAAGGGACCCTAGGAGGGAATTGAGGTTTATCTTCCAGATCGATCTCTCGATCTTCCTCTTTCATTTTCATTTCATCAGAGCCCCTCCCAAAACTCTGATGATATGAGGATCTTGTGCTTCTGCGTGTCTGCGTCGATCCCTTTGTCGCTGACACTTCAATCCCAGATTCTTGCTTAATCTTGACATCTTCGCCAGTGGACTCACGGTGAAATCCAGAGGCCTCAGAAGATCCGGGCACGCGCACCATTGTGGTGAAGTCGATCTCACAAAATTGCTTGTATGAGTGTCGATCTTCCACTTGCCCAGACTTGCCGACTCACGGAGGGGGTACTCCGATCCGTGCCTTGTTGTATGACCTTGTGCTCACCTTGTGTACCCGTCGGTTGGGCTGGCTTGAGCTCTTCGTAACGGCCTTGGGAGATGTCGATCTCGCTGAGAGGTTGGGTTGAGGGTTCGCTTCCGGTGCGGAAATCTTCACACCACGAACGGGGGTTCTGCGATCCCGATCTTGGATAGCACCGATCTTGATTTGTCTTCGAGATCGGGGTCTTTGCTGTGCGGAAATCTTCACTCAGCAAATAAAAGTCCTGCGTCGATCTTGCCTTGGGATCGGTCCGATCTGGTCTTGGGATCGGCCGATCTTGCCGGAAGTGCGCAATTTGGGTAGATCGGTGTCTTGTTTCGCCAAAATGAAACGTGCCGATCTGTCCAGGGGATCGCTTCGATCCTGCTCGGTCTTGTCTTGAACGCCTTGTCCAGATCTTCTGACCACTTGAGCCGCCTCGCGATCTTGTGTCCAAAATCCTTTTCCTTTTCCGTTGTGTGCTGCTACCCTAGCAGTTGAGTTGAGTGTGAGTACTTGGTCGATCCGGGCCAGATATCCCGGGATCGCTCTTCTCGATCTTGGCCAACAATCCAAGATCGGTCTTCTGTGTCCCTGTAACACGCGTGCCTTAACCCGCCGGGGAAGCCAAATCAATCTTGCCTGGAGAAGAGGGGGGATAACGTGCGTCGTGAGCAGAAGAAGTAGAGTTCAAGTCTGTTTATTAACCAACCAAATTACTATCCAACCTACCCTTAAGCCTATTCTTAACTATAGGTCACTCTTCAAACCGATATCGCCTTGAATCTGGATCGCCCCCTTGCCACGTGTCGAAATTTCGTGCCCTGTACTCCAATAATAGCGCCAATATTCCCGATACCGTACCTGAACGCCAAAAGAGGACCAAATCCCAAATGGGGTACCAAATACCCATTTTTGGTACCCAAAAGCCCAAAATAGTGCCCAAATGCCGAAGGCGTCTAAATCCATTTTGCGACGTCAATTTAACCGGCTTCCACTGGCTCTTTCGATCTGAACTTTTGAGACATCACTCATGGACCTTCAACAAGCATGTTTGTCATGATCCAAAATTCTCATCAACGATACATCCATAATCAGTGGGGATCATGACCGATCTGATGCCCAATTCGAGATTGTTGAGGATCGACACAGTACAATCCGGCCATATATGTTCTTCCGTTCATTGTGCACTCCGATGCTTTTCTCAAATGATTCTGCTTCAACATCCACATCCTTGCCTCTGATCAGCCTACAGAGTGGTCGTTCGTTTCAATCCAGTCCCTCGTCCCAGATCGCACCGTTGGAATCACCCCTTTCTACGCCCCGTCTCAAATCACGTTGCATCGCCTGGTCCTAGGCGTACCTCTTCCGCCAGTGGGTGACATCTTAACTGGGTGGAAACCGATCCACGTCCCATCATTTGATTAGTGACTTTACCACAGTTACACCTTCGTCGCAGAGTCATATCCCATCACCCGGTCCCAGATCCTTGTCCCAGATTGTTCCATGTAAATCGTTCCAGATCGCTCCGTCCCAGGTCGATCCATACCCATTAGTCTAACGACAGTTGGATCGGTTCGCCGATCCCGTTAAGATCATCTTCCACCTCCGTATTGGATCGCCGAGTCTCATGGCCTCCTTTTCCACCAGTAAGCGGCGCTTTAAAGGTGTGGCCACCGATCCTCGTACAAAATTTGAGTAGTGACTTTGCCACACTACGCGTGACGGCTACTCCCATTTGAGCGATGTCGAATGGGATGCGGTTGAACGAATGGGTTCGACCATGGGCATCCATGCTGTTAGCGTCATGCTAGAGGCTCTTAATAGAGATGCCCAACATGCTACTATCGCCAAGTTCATTCAAAATGAACTTGACGCAGAACGCGAGAAAGTAGCCTTGCTTCACCAACAAGGTTCTCACCAAGCAGAGTTGTTGAGAGAACAGGGTGCTTAACAGTTTGAACTGTTGAGACAGCAGCAGGCTGCTGCTGGTGGGTCGATGCACTCGCGTCGACCCGAGACTTTGAAGATTGACATCTCCAAGTATAGGGGGGTCGAAGAAGACTCCCTCTTGAGATGGTTCGTCGAATTGGATGACGCCATAAAGGCGCGTCGCATCGACGACGGGGATATGCAAGTTGCATTTGCCCAGTCAAATCTGGCAGGACGTGCCAAGACTTGGGCACTGGGGCTCAAGTTGCACGACCCATATGCGTTTGGGTCGTTGGAAGTCTTCAAGTCGCGGCTCAGACAAACGTTTGAACCGCCTAGAGCTGAGTTCAGAGCTCGAACCGAACTCTTGAAGCTCAAGCAGGGTAAGCGTGATGTACACGCTTACGCTCAACACATACGACATCTCACGAGTTGTATAAGTTCCAATCCGGTGGATGAACACACGTTGGTTTCGGTGTTCATGCAGGGTCTTGCGGATGGTCCCGTCAAGACTCACCTGTTCCGGCTTGAACTAGATTCACTAGAACAAGCCATTTCCATTGCGGAGCAGGAAGACTTCAGTCTGAGACAGGCTCGCGCCAGCTCGACATCATATCGTCAACCGAGACGATATGACAACGGAGGTCCAGAGCCGATGGAACTCTGTTATGTAGAGAGCGAGAAGGCTCGCTCTACAGGCTACAAAAGGGTGGAGAGAGGCAAAAAATATCCAAAGACAGGACACTACGCTTACGAGTGTAGTGCCCCTCGTCCAGTGTCTCGCGACACTGGGCGTAGTGACCGTCCACCCATGAGAAAGGGGCAGGGACGAGGGTCCGCAGTTGGTGCAAAGACGCAACAACGGGATGGACCGTCAAAAAACGGACAGGATCAGTAGGTGCGGAGCACTCTACTGATCCAGCAACGTCAAGAGAATTTGTAGGCCTCTTGATGAAGGTTGCTCCCAACACACAAACGTTGTGCGTTGCTGCTCTAGGTAATGAGGTCTCACTCATTACCTTGAAACTCGAAGTGACGAATAAGTTGTCCCTTCGAGCTCTAGTCGATTGTGGGGCGTCCAACAATTTTGTGCGACGCCAATCGCTAGAAGATGGTCACTTTAAATTCAGTGAATGTGACACACCTCCTACGAGGATGACGGTATGTCTTGCGACAGGCGCATCCGTAATCCGTCATGAAGCGTATAGTGAAGATCCACTATACGCTAGAAGATACCCAATATGACGATGACTTTATCGTATTGGATTTGGATGACAAATTTGATGTCATCCTTGGAATACCGTGGCTCAGAAGGTACGAACCACGGGTAAACTGGCAACATCGGACAGTAACGATGCCTGCCGCTTGTTCATCAGATGGCCATCTGATGAACGTTTTGGAGCGTCCACAAGCGTGTGGATGTACTACGAGTGAGTGCGATGGCCTCACTTGTGGTACGGTCGTTATTACGACTGCACAAAACCTTAGTGTACCAAACGGTTACACTTCGGAGCAAAGTTCCGGCGGCTGTGAGGAAACACAGGCTGCGCCGAAGGTCCACCACTCGAATAAGTCGGGTGGACTGGGACAAAGATGTATCCCTAGCGGGGAACATCTAGAAGAGAAACAATCGATCGCTCAGGTTAAGCGAAACGATAATCCTAGATCGACTGGAGAGTCTTTCGTAGAGGATCTCGCTGTGGTTGCGCAACCCCAGCTAGAGGAAGTAAAGGGAATAAGTCCCAAGATTACAAATACGGCGGAAATAAGTTTCCCGAAACCCGCGGGAATAAGTCCCCGGGAAGCCGAAGGAATAAGTCCTTCGAAGCCTGAGGGAATAAGTCCCCAGGAAATGACAGAGACATTGAATGTCATAGTCAATAACGGATCAAGTGTAGGCGCTTATACACTTGATCTGATTGCGCCTCCGAACTTAACTTCGGAGATCACTCAGTTGCCAACGCTCGAACATAAAGGTTCTTGCGTGATCTGCGTAGTGGCAAAGTCAAGCAGATCTGCATACTCGTCGCTGACGACGAGTGTGTAACCGACATAAGGTCAGCAACAGTGTTTACTGAGAACGAGAGAGTTCTCAGTAGTTCATCTATGGACGAGAGTGTCCTAGATGAAAAGACACGAATTGAGCGATATGACTCCCAATCGTGGGAATCGCTCAAGAAAAATCCTCTCTATGAAGATTTGGTTGAATTCAAGGATGTATTCCCTGAAACTGTTCCGTGCGAATTACCGAAGGATAAAGGTATTCGACACGAGGTCGAGCTTAAACCAGGCTCGAAGTACTGTGTCATGAAGCAGTGGCCACTGCCTCGTGAACAAGTACTTGCGATCGACAAGTTCTTTGCCGATCGTTTAGCTGCGGGCCATGTGAGGGAATCAACTTCCCCACATAGCTCTCCGACCTTCTGTGTGCGAAAAGCAACAGGAGGGTGGCGGATAGTGCACGCGTTCAACAAATTGAACGCTGCAACGGTACCGGCTCAGACGCCGATACCGAGGAAGGACGTAATCATTGATGGTATGTCAAAGAGTACCATCTTTTCGTCCATGGATTTGATGGATGGCTTCTATCAAATCCTTATGCGGGAACGGGATATACCCTATACCGCAGTTAGCACGCCTAGCGGCATGCTCTGGGAATGGCTAGTAATGCCACAAGGGCTCAGTAATGCCCCTGCCACGTTCAACAGATGTGTATCACATCTGTTGAGACCAGTACGAGAATTCGCGCCGAGTTATTTCGATGACGTATTCATCCATAGTCGAGCTATGGATGGAAAGTCGGACGTTGAGGTTCACAGGTACCACGTCCGACAGGTTCTTACAATCATGCGAAAGCATCAATTGTATGCAAACCTCAAGAAGTGTATATTTGCCGCAAGCGAAATACCACTTCTTGGGTGCATCGTTGGTAAGAACGGTGTACGTCCTGATCCCGAAAAGATCAAGGCGATCACCGACTGGCCTGTGCCGGTTGATGTCAAAGGTCTTCGAAAATTCCTTGGGCTAGCGGCGTATTTGCATAAGTATTCACGCAATTACGCCGAGATGACTGTGCACCTCTCTCGTTTGTTGAAAAAGAACGAGAGGTGGTTATGGAACGCTGAATGTCAACGCTCCTTTGAGGGTATCAAGCAGAGCTTGAAACAATCCCCAGTCCTAGCAATAGCCGATCAGGACAGGCCATTTCATGTGGTCTGTGATGCCAGCGATTTCGCAATCGGCTGTGCATTAATGCAGTACGATCTTGAAGGCGTTGAACGCTTCGTCTGCTATCAGTCGCGTCAGCTGCAACCAGCTGAGCGGAACTATCCAGTGCATGACAAGGAACTCCTTGCCATGAAGTATGCACTCGCGAAGTTCAGAGTCTATCTATTAGGAGATAGACCCTTCGTTGTTTACACTGACCATGCGTCATTACGCACGGCAGTGAACAGCCCGCACCTTTCACAACGAATGGCGCGGTGGTTGTCATTCTTTGCGGAATACAACTTTACGGTCGAGTACAAACCAGGACGACTTAATGTCGTCGCTGATGCACTCTCACGTCGTCCCGACTTTGAAACAGTCGCGAAACCCAACAGTGAGACAGTCACTGTTGCGGTTATGACGTCCTCAGTCCCATCTACAACGTTGTATGATGATGTGAGGCGGGCATACGCCCAAGATGGTGAGATAGTGAAGTTGTTGACACATCTCTCCCAACCATCTCGAGAATCGTTGAAACGATTGTCGTCTGCGTATCGATCTGCATCAGATCGATACACTACTCGTAACGGTTTACTGTACTATACAGCCGTTTCTGGTGACACACCACGTGTTGTCATTCCAGATGATACTGATCTGCGTTTGCGGACCATGTTCGAGTATCACGATGCTCCTATAGGAGGACATCGTGGCCGAGAGAAAACATATCTCACGGTAAGTCGAGACTTTTACTGGCCCCGCCAGTATCAGTTTGTGCGAAAGTATGTTCGCGCATGCGAAGTCTGCCAACGAGTGAAGTCAAGTCCTTCACTGCGTGCACCTTTACAGCCTCTACCGGTTCCGGCTGAGTGCTGGGAATCCATCTCAGGATGGATTTCGTCTTCGGGTTACCCAAAGACGCACGCGGGAATACGGGTATTCTCGTATTTGTTGACAGATTCAGCAAAATGGTACACCTTGTGGCTGTACCAGAGACAATCACGGCAAGTGGCTGTGCTTGTGTCTTTATTGACACCATCTTCCGACTTCATGGGTTGCCCCGTGAACTCGTATCAGACAGAGATCCACGATTCACTGCTGATTTCTGGCGTTCCGTGTTCAAATCACTCGGAACGCGCTTGAAGATGTCAACATCTGATCATCCAGAGTCTGATGGTCAGACGGAACGTGCCAATCGTGTCCTTGAAGAGATACTTCGAGGATACGTACACTCCTTTAAGAGTTGGAGTGAGTTTTTGCCAATGGTAGAGTTTGCAATCAACAACTCGGTGCATGCGTCCACGACACATACACCGTTTTACGTGAATGGCTTGCGCCATCCGCGTGTACCCACCTTACTAGAGTGTAACTCTGGTTTAAGGGGGGGAGGGACTCGCGCGAGCAAAAACCGAATTGGTTCACGCTCATCACGCTCTGACGAAGAAGTCATTGCGTTTGATGCCGATATCGATAACATCGATATCGAAGAAGGGAAGAAGATGATCCCAGTGAGAGTGCGGAAGCCCTCACTGAAGAAAAGGTTGATGTTGCTGCAGTGCGCTCACAGCACACTGAAGCTAACGAGTCATCAGATGAGTTCATACTGGCTCGTGAAACGGTAGTCCGTTTTGTGCAAGACTCCATCGCCGAAGCGGTGGATAAGCAAAAGCAAAACGCTGACAAGAATGGAAGGGCAAACACTCTTTTATTTAATAAAGGTGACTTAGTCCTACTGTCTACGGTTAATCTACCAAAGCATGTAGTGACTAACTTGGGTAGCAGTAAACTACTACCCAAGTACATCGGCCCTTTTCGTGTATTGCACCGCCTAGGCAATGCATACACGATCGAATTACCACGTAAGATGCGAACGCATCCCACGTTTTACGTTGGTCGGCTTAAGCCGTACCATCAGTACGCTGCTTCTTCCGATGAAGAACGCCCTTGCGCTCAAGCATCTCGCAGAGAGCCTTGTGCTCCCGATGGTGGGCATCATCAAGGGTCTGAAGAGCAACTATCTCATCCCGAGACCGATCAACAATCCCACGAGCTACCCTTAGCTCGTCACGAAGAGATGTCAGAGATCTCTCGTTCTCAAGCTGAGCAAAGGCAAACTCAGCTCGATGCTTCGAGGCAGTGTCCGCCATTTGGAGACGCCTATTCCGCTCATGCTCGAGATCGTCGCGTAACCCTTGCGTTACGCGATCAAAGAAGCTCTCGGGAACACACCGATCCACATGATCGTGTGGAGAGCGTCTTTCCTCCTCCTCCACCTCCATTAGAGGACTCTCGCGGTGGCCAGCGCTATCTAGTTGAGCAGCTGTTGAACCACCGCGACGTGAACGGACGTCGGACGAGTTATCTCGTCCGGTGGCGCGGCTATCCCCCGTCCTGGGATTCTTGGGAGCCCCGCTCCCAACTGATGATCGACGTACTGGGTCTGGTTGAGCAGTACGACGCGGCACATCCTGTGCCGCAGAAGGACCGCCGGAGAAAGTCTTCCCGGCACGGTCGTAAAGGGATTTCAAGCTGTCAATCCCTTCGTACATCTCAATAGAGATACGTACGCGCCACCACGGGCTATTAGGGAGGTAAGCCTCCTTAGGTGCTCGTGCAGAGTTGTTCACACAACATGGGCACGAGTCTCCCCAAGAGAGGCAGGGTAATCCTTTCTCCCTTGACAGACGATGCAGCTTGTAGCGTGCACCTGTCGGGGTTCGCTTTTCAAACTTATCACGAGCTTTGATAAGTTTGTCGTTCCAAGCGTCACGACCTACATCCTCGAGGTTATGGATGTAGGCGTTCCACGCCTGAAGTAGTGAGGGACCATCACGTTTGTGATTCCCACTGTACCATCGATGTCTAAAGAAAGCATCGATGAAGAATTCATGTTCGGCGCGATAGTTTTTCGCGCTGGGGTCAAGGTGATGGATCCTTGACGAATCGAACAATCGTGTTCGATAACGATCACTCGTCGTCGCCGACAAGTGATCCATGACAGATTTGGGAGGCATCCATGCCTTCTTCTCGGGAGCGAGACGCAAGACATTGCGGTCCCGCTCTTCCTGCGACGTGCCGACAGAAGTACTGGCACCTCGCTGTGAAGTGGTATCCATAGGAGAACCGGCACCACTGTTAGCGCCCGAGTCTCGCAACCTCGAGCGCCTTCGCTTCGGCGATGGTTCATCTGATTCATCAGATGAACCAAAGATGCTGTGACGCAAAGCATCATCCATGCCACGCTTGGCAGGCGGCTTAAATTCAATCGCCGTCGATACGGATCCGTCATCCGTATCAGGAGAGTACGAGACACCGAGCTCGTACTCTGTGAAGACATGAGTGTCTTCATGACCAGCGCCTGCGTCACCAAGTGACACATGCTGGGTCGCTTCAGCAACCGATGAGACATCAGTTGCTGTGGTTTCTGCTTCGGCGTCCGCACAGAGACGTGCGGACGCGCTCTCGGCGGCCTTGCTCGCGCATCGCATGGGCTTGTTAACCATGCGATGAGATGTTGGAAAGTAGACGCGGACCAACAAGTGCAAACCCTGTCCCAAATGATTTGGGACGAGTATCCATTTAGTCAATCAGTCACTAAAGTGACTGATGGTTAAGGGGGGTGATGTAACGGGGTGAATCGTTACATAACAATTTATAAGAAATTGTTAATAGAATATAACTATAAGAGTTATATTCTCAGAATATTGTCATAAGGACAAATATTCTGTAGCACTTACGAGTAGTTCCTAATTGGTTGATATAGGCCATTATATCAACCAACGAAGACGCGCCACGACAGACGCACGCAATGAGTGGTGAGCAGATAATTGATTTACACATTTGTATTTAGACATAGTTAGATGAAGATAAATAGTGATTTATTGCAGACATTAACTATACTAAATACAGTTCTACTTTTTACTCTAACCGAGTACTCGCTTCTTCTTACCGTCTTCCTCTGCACGTACGAGTGTACGTGAAGTTACGAGGCACCGCCTTATTCTGTCATCAGAATAAGTAGCTTGTACTGTCACCAGTACAAGCTTCAGGGTGCCCCGTTACACATCCCCCTCTCACCTGCTGTTGTTGATCTGGACGAGGTTGGGGTACTCGTTGTCACCTTGCCAAGCGCACTGTCTAGATCTCCCGTCTCGCGTCTATCGCTCGCACCACCTATCGCGCCACCTAACGCGCCAACTCCTTGTCCATGCGGGTGGCTGTCGGGCCCGCTCCTATCGGGCTCCTGCGGCATTCTATTAAGGCACAAAGTTGATTGGTCAAAACCCTACTTGGCCGCTGAGCCGTGATCCAATTACATTCTCAATTGTGCCCGACTACTCTTTAGCCGGCGAAATCGAAAGTGGGCATTTCTTAAATAGGACGAAGAAACCAATGGGATGGAATGGTCTGCGAAGTCTTAGGGCTTACATCTGATCGAGAATTTGTGGCGGATCTTGCTGAGGACTGTGTACACCTCGGCAGCAAAAAACAAACGAAATGGGAGCTTATGGTGGCAATGAGAAATGTGAAGCGAGACTTCCAAGGTGACGCTCACAAATTGGCTGGATATATAAAAAGGCGCCACTTGCAAGTGTCCACATACGACGGTAAGAAGATAGAGTACCGAAACGACTACCACACACCAAAATGAGCTATAAGTGTTGCTTGGTGTGCGCTTTATCGCATACACCGTATCTTTTCCACGCACTTGAACCGTCACGAGCGGGACATCACGTGTGACATTGCGTGGGATATTTTTTTACTTGTTTGTCTTCCACAAATGCACTGAGAACGTTGAGCACATCAAAATAACCACCTGCAGGCCTCTCTATCGATGGAAAAGGTCAGAAGAGCATGGCTTGTTCCATCAAAAGTTCACAAGCAAGTTTGCTATACCATTTCCGCGCGCGTTCTACACTCAATTAGAACGCAAAGCTCAAACTATTCATTTGTTGCCCTGTCCATCATCGTCTTCTATCCAACATGCTCGGTATTCATTACCACCTCATTATGCTTGTCCACTTTTCTTTGAGCATTATCTGGACAAGAATCCAGACTCGCGCGACTCTTCCTGGAAAATCAACAGGCTCAGCCAACCCTTACAGCTCTGTGCAATGTGACAGCATTTTAAGATACAACTTACAACCACCAAAAAAATCATGCCTACGTCAACTTGGGCCAGTGCTTCGTTAGAGTTGCCTCTGCTGTGATAGCGACAGTAACAGCGTAGGTCAATCGCTTACCTATGGGTAAACTCGAAGCGAGCTCTTCTCAATGTGAAAGATGGACAGAGCACATCATCTTCTTGATCAGTTGACGACACTACAATAATCATCATCTGTTGAGTACGTCGTAGTGCAGCAGATCCAGACGGAATTTAGACTCTTTAAATGGGCGCAGTGCGTATGCTGCAGTACCTCGAATTCCTTGTTGCATTAACAATACGGTGCATATACGAGAAAATACCACGAAGCCAAAAATTGCTCCAACTTCGTTCTTTTTTAACTTCGTCTTGACCGCATGTGAATAAACACCATCAAAAGCCTCAGTGAGCAACGCAGTGAGCGTTCCATACGGCAAGGACATGTGGGCTCCATACTTATTAACGGACGGCCTCTTCAAGTCGAGACAACCAAATCGCGAATCAGATCCGAAGAAAACGTCGACTTTGGCATCTCCTGACTTATCGGACGACATCATTGCATAGCTGCAGCACAGCCCCATTGCTTCCAACGCACATCGTTGCTGACTTCATACCGTCGCTACCTCAGATTCGTCAAGTGGAAGCGACTCCGCTAGCAATACTAGAAATCGCTGTCGGAGACAGCGTCTCTGATCTTGGAGCTCGACGAAGGCTGTGAATTGTGAGTCAAGCACTTACCCAGCTTTCAGAGCAATAACTGTATGACCTGGCACTGGGCTCCGATCAACACTCCCAGTCTCCCTACCTCGCGCAACAACAATCCGCTGATTATTACGACCTACGAGACGGAATCTTCATCCATCCAAAGCCGCAGTTGGTGGCTCAAATGCCGTCGTTGTCGTGATAGAAGTCGGAAGCGCAACCACTCAGCGCTTGCTGTCGCTTTGATGCCCAGATCAAGAACGGTTGGTTTCGTGAGACTTTCTTCAACTGCTTTGATCGATTCCAGCGGCGTTCGAACTAACACTGCTTGATTCTGCGCACCGCTCACTCCCACAACGTACACACAGACCTTCGAACATACCAACGTCACGTGAACCAGATAGCTTGATCTGTCATCCGGCAGCAAAAGGCCGCGAATCGACTCGTTCTCTGGCGTATCCAAAAGCTCGCTCGGTATGAAGTCGAGGTCCTGCCCGAAACCGGCCAACTTATTCTCATCTGAAACGACCCAAATACCATGCGCGAACACCAAGCTGCTGCCAACTTCGTCTGGTAGCACCTTGAGCTTGTAACGGAGTAATTCGTTAGGTCGGGCATCGAAACGCGAGACGTAGTCAGAAAGCGGCATGTGGTTGCTATTGATCCCGTAGAGCAGGCCGTCTGAAGTCATCGACACAAGTGATGCTACGCCACCCATCGGTCGAGCGAGAACGCCCACCAACCCCATGCCAACACCACCTACTACGTTTCGAATCCCAGTGTCAAGTCCTTGTCGCTGGCGTTCCTTGTAAACAGCAATCGGAGTCGTGATCACTCCAGCTGCTGCACCAACCACACTCGATCCTAGCGATCCCAAACCTTCAGCAAGAGCTGACGACAAATGAGTTGGTCGGATGTAATGGCGCTTTCGAAGCTGATCCATTGGCAACGTGAGTTGATCCATTGTTCGAGAAATGGAATATGAAAAGCCGGACACGGAGGTGAGCGTTGCTACCGTGGCATGGCCTAAGAAAGAGGCAACACCGCCCGCAACACCCTTTGTGAGTAACCACGGATTGTAGCCTTTTTTGGACGCAGATAAGGGAATTTCAACAAGATTTCGAACTCCCTGGCCGAAGCTCCGTAGAAAACCCCTGCAGCACAAAACAGAAGAAATCGTACATCAGTCACAGGTCAGGTATTATTCTCGAATTTGCAAGCTTACGCGGGGTTGCCAATAATGTTCAGCGACATTAAAAGCATTGGAGAGCGAACGATGGTATCGGCGACATAGTCTGCTGCCAGATCCTTGCACAGCTGGTCGGGGAAAGAAAACACATCTCGCAACTTGGTCGACCCGAAGTGCAGCGGTGTGCCATCAAAACTGTTTAGTACAGGAATTGACACACGCGCGGTGATGACCACCTCTATGCTGCTGATTTCGAGACGTCCGATAAACACTTTGTGCTGTTTTGATATCATCGCTGATTCGTATGCGTACAAACTCCAGGTATCCTCATGACAAGTTTCATGGCCTTGATTTCCACCGTAGGCAACCGTGCCTGAAGCAGCTTTACCTTCCAGGGCATCAAGTATTGGCCGAACGAAAGCGTTTAAGTACAACAAGATGTCATCTTCTACCTACAGTATCTCGCACAATTATGTTACAAGAGAATCCGCAAAATATTAAGAATACCAGTCAATCATACCTGAACGACGGCCGGGGACAAGTTTAGCTCAACCGTGTGGAAGTAAGATGGGATATTAACTGGATCCCACGTATCTGCGTAAATGACCCTGATCAACAAGCTGGTATTTCCTGTACCAGGCAACTGTTTGCCAAGGAGATTGTCCATTAGATCTGATTGTAGCAATTCTTTCGACTCATGAGTTCTCGGAAAGCAGATGATCACCGGAAAGTTGCAGGTTTTCAAGAAATGCCTCACTTCAATGTCCCCAATCGCAACGAAGATGGTTGTGTATGATCGGATGTGTGACAGGTAACCCAAACGGTCACTGTGACGGGACACTTCGGGTGGATCGGGAGTCGTAGCAAATGCAATCGATACTGCAGTACAAGTCAATCGCAGAATTTCTGGGTAAATAATCATGCCCCTCGTATCCTGCACGGGGTCGTATTCATCGCAGAGATGGAGAGACAGCTCCTTCACAACCAAGCTAATTTTCAGCGACGTTGGTTTAGTATTCTGCACTGCTGTCGATGTTGCCATTGCGGGTGAAATCAACGGTGGCATTTGACCCGCATGAACATCACGTGTTGGATCCTCCTCTAAGCAGGTAATAGATATCAGCCACGACCCTGCTCGATACAGGCACATTACCAAGAAGGTCGGAGTTGCTGTATCTATCGTGTTCTCCTTCTCGCTTGCAAACGATGCAAATTGGATCCCGCCAACCTGCCAAAGCGCGTTGGACCACCCGTATTCCGGCAATCCAATCTGGAAACGCATACGGTCATTCATTGCTGAATCAGACATGTGTACGCTATCTAGCGATCGTGAGTCGCTTATCCAGTCGCCCAGCAGCTCGTCATTGTCCTTATTGCTACTTTTGGGAATTTCTTCTGCCCCTCTTTGTTTCGATTTGCGGTTCTTCGCTGACATCTGTAAACAATGAACCGCATGAATGTTTGTGACAGCACCACATGATCAATTCCAAAAAGTCGTACCTGTAGATGCCAGTCGTACTCAAGGTAGAAGTCTGCACCAACGCCTTCTGGATTCGATGGGAATGACACATTTCGAAAACCCAACGCTCTTTGCCACTGATTATGGATTACCATAGGTGGCTGGTGATCATCGAAGAAGAGTACCTGGATCGACATTCCGTTTTGCGTTACTGTAAACGTCAGCATTCTGTGCCTCATGTCACGGTGGCGAATTAGCAAACGCCTTCGGCGAGTGGTTGTAGAAGGAGCTGGATACAGGTTATCTGTGTTTTTTACTGAGGTCGACAGTGGATCAACCGTTTCCAGGCTGCCATCGGGATGAGCCAGAAGCGAAATTTCCGGGAGCAATATCGATATTTCCTCTGTCCACTCGTCGTAACCATCTTCCGCGAGACTTACCCGAAAGGAGCAAGACAGTTTTACGACTAAAGCCTGATTCGAAGTCTTCAAGGCATCCTCGTTCGAGTGCCTTGATAGCTTCGAGCTAAACCAAGATGACACACCAGCAGTAAAGCCTCTCTTTTCTTCCTCTTTGTACAGACATACAGGCACACACCATCCGGCATTTTTGTTCGGTATCAACTGCTGATAAACAAAAAAGAGAATCAGCCAGTGTACTAGAAGTCTACACTACTCACCATAATTACGACGTTAACGCACCGATGGTTCGTCTGCGTTCAGTATATTACCTTGGTTGTCTGTAGGAAGACACATGAGGGAGTAATTCTGAACAATCAAGTTAGTTTCCGCACATATGAGCGGATTCACGATTTCAACAAATATTTGTTACCGTTGAATTGATCACCACAACCTGCGGACGGATCATGAGCTTCAGGTAGCCATCCAGGTTGACCATTTCGATACAGTACGCACTGGCCAAACTTGGTGGTCCCGGACCCGCAGCTGGCACAATGATTGATTTCGCATCACCTTTCACATTGAGTGAAGCTTCTGGAGACCATTTTACCGGACCTTCCTCGTTGTTCAAGTCTTCAACTATTGCGATTGAGATCACCAAATAGGTGCTGACTGGTAGAACCCCGACAGAGCGCTCGACACATGAGCCGATCTTCTCCAAAGCACGTCGATTTTTAAGAGGGCTGCTTACGTTAATGGCCAAAACGTGCGGCGTCATGTTTGCAATGCTAAGGATGCGCTCGATTTTGATTCGAACCATTGGGCGACGATCCTTGCAAAAGCTCACGACCGCTCTACAGCCCTCAAAGACAAAAACATGTTCACTCGGATTTCCGTAGGAGATGCAAAATGTCAGTGACTCCGCAGCGGCTGGAGCATTACCGGAACTTGATTCGTATTGCAATTGTACGTCTACCGGCTCACACGGATTGATTATCGACAAATCTTTTTCGGTCGAAGGGGCGATATCCAACTCGACAAAGGTAGTCTATGAAGAAAACAAAGCATTAGCACGCGCCTACTTTTATGAAAACTAATGCCGTAACTGTACCTTCTGTATAAAGGAGAGCACCACTGAAAAGTCCATTGTATTCTCCACGACGATAGCAGGCCACAACGAAACCTCCATCCAAGTGTATCGCCACGATATCTGGGGTTGCATCGGGTCAAAGTCGGTAGGCAGCACAGTCCTGCATTGCGCACGAGCAATCTTAACCCAAGCGTACTGAGTGCGCTCGCCAGGATTTCGCGAAGAGAGGGCTACGGAACTGCATTGTGTTTTCTTTAAACCATCCTCGTAGCCGTCACAATTTTTTACTAGGTCGAACTCGCTAGGGATGTTTTCTTGCATTGGCACACTGCACCAAGAGGCTTCGTCGATACTAAATTCTACAGATGCCAAGGACTTCAGCATAATCCGCAACTCATCGTCATCTGCTTCTGCAGATACGGATAGAGTGCACCCCGATCCGTCCAATGAAGTACATTTAGAGTGACACTTTACACTACTCTTAATGCAGCTCTCTTGACAGAACTTCTCAAGTCTTCTAGGATGAAATGTGGGAGTTTCCTCATTCACTTTGATCAGCACCGGAAAGTGACAACGATTTTGAACAGTCAGCGACGATCGAAGCGTTACTATCGTCTGTAAACCATTCAGCTCCACACAAACCCACAAGAAGCCGCGAGCGCCCAAATAACGACCAGTTACAGCATTTTCTTTGATCCTGCATGGATCGCACCAGAGAAGATCATTGTGCACCGCCTGCTCGCCATTGCTTTTCTTGTCTTGGCTGTTATGTGCTTCGATTGGCTCCTGACCCGTATTCTCCACAGCAAAGCTAAGCTCATAAAACGGGTAACTTGCCAAGGAGAGCCAGCTATATGCTGCACTGGTGTCTGCAGCTAAGAATAAGCACTCAGGAGTTCCTTCTTGTCGATACCGGATATCCATACCTGAGCAATTGACAATGCTTATGCGCATCTTGCACAGCTTGTTATCCACATTTACTGGAGCATCGTCAGAAGTTGTTGTATTCGTCTGCAGGAGCTTTGGAATTGACGAAATCACAAGCATCGTTGTCTGATTTAAAAGGACGGAGACTGGACCAATCTGGGCGGCAAGCTCAACGCCCTTTCGAGATACCTCGACTGTTGCGTCAACTGAAGTTCGCGGAATAATCGATACAGTAAGCAGCTGAGCCATGTTGTCAAGGTATGCTTGGACCGACGACGACAAACACAAATTAAACGTCCTGGTGTGAAGACGACCCGAAGTCGCACACGAGAGCACTGTATCATTAAGCTCGGCAGTTATAATATCGTGAGAGTCGTTTCCTGAGCCCACCTGGCTGATAGACAGCGTAATTAGTGGAAGTGTAACAGTCGATACTAAGCGCTCATAGGCGTCACACGTCAACACCGAATGCACCTGAAGCGATGATGCAAGCAAGGCGTTTACCACGAGACGCTTCTGCTTGTTCTGCATAATATGTACATAAACAATGTGATCAGTTTCGGCGTCAACGCGGCTAAAGGTTACACTTACGCACCTCGAACTCTTGTTCATACTGCAGCGGAGCTCTCCATCTTAGTTCCCAATTGTCCGAAGAAAGGTTGCTATCAAATGAGAACGTCCTCGTTCGAGCACCAAATTCAAGCAATTTTAATCGATAGTGCGCTTTCTCAATGTCATCGTCAAACCACTGATTCATCAAGTCCATAAAAGTTTCTGGTTCACTGGCATCTCCTGGCTCATCAGAACCTACATTTGGCAGCGCAACTTCCCAGGGAACATGAAATTCGCACACGACGACATAAGAAGTCTTCTTGCTGTCCCAACATCTTAATTGACACAGAATATCGCAAAGCCTGCCTGCATCTTCGTCTTGACTCTGATCCCAGCTTGACGACGGCCATCCCATTAAGACTCCATTAGGAGGAAAAGGTACTGGGTTTGCAACAACCTTGTGAATCTTACGTGGTATGTGATAGCACCAGCGTATCCCCGCCCAGCCGTGTGTTTTGTGACCCAATCCCGTGCACGAAGACGGTTCGCTGCCAGTTTCATGCTCTTCGATGATCCATGGCTCGTTGCACTTCTTGAGGTAGGCTACCACATCAGCTAGCTTGATGCCAAACTTGTTCGAATCAACCTGAATCCGAATGTCTGCACCAGCAACCGCAGACGTGTTGGCCATAACGGCGCTCGCGGTCTCGATCATAAGAGCCTCCGTAAATACGAGCTCCCCAGGTGAAGGTCGTCGTCCTTCTGCCACTCGCCTCAACATCTTAAAATCATCCACCGAAGATTCTCGTAGACGTTGAATTGTATTTCGAGGACTAGCACACAGACTAGCGCAATCGGCTATACTACCACCGCGTAGGTCATGGAAACGTTTGTCATATGGATTGTCGCTGATGGCAAGTGGGTTCAACAGGTAACGCATGGCCCGCAACGAGAAAGGTGAAATCTTCACGCGCAGAGCGTTCACTTCGGCCTGGACACTTACCCGGACCATATCAGTATACAGCAAATAGACGTCCGTTTCCCCAACCGCCACTCGTTCAAGCATTTGATGCTGTTCGCCAGTTATCCGAGCACTACATTCATATAGCAGCCGTTGAGCCTCGGACACGACGCTGATGTATTTCGAAAACTCCTGCCAAGTACTAAAAGTATGTGCGGGAATGGGACCGGCTAACGTGTTTTGAAAATGTACCTGCAGGAGAGGCAAGTTGTCGGACGTGTTTACACCAAGCTTGTCAATATTCATCATCATTTCCAGTGTAGGCACAGCAACAAAACGAGTAATCTCATCCACGGTTTGTTCTAGTGAACGGAACAACTCCTGGGTCTTATCATTACCACCAACACCCACGCTCGCAAACAATTGGCCGGACTTCATCCAAATGCCAGCCGTTCTCCTTCCCGCACTAATTTGTCCTCGGTACGATATCACACTTGGAGCTACAAGCACCTTAATACTCCATCTCGGACGGAAAGCAAAGAACTTGTTATCCCTAGGGATGCTGATTTGGTCTCTACTTTTTTTTTCCTAGACAGGGTTTCGAAAACAAAAAAGTCGGTTCTAAGTAAGCAAAGCGAGATACCACTTGCAAGAATTTATGCGATACGTGCAATTGAACAGCTTGCACATCAAGAAAAAGCGTTCCATCTGAACAATCTCCAAAATTCCACCTCGCGGCAACCAGCTTTTCGGGATAGTTTTCCACAGACAAATGCCACAAGCTTGGCTCGGCATTTGGACCAAAAACCACTTCCTCGATTGCAACCGCAATGTCTGTCGAGCTCGGTGCATTTTCCATTGCTCGGTGACCAACTACCAAATTTTGAATAGACGCACAACCAGAAAGCGTTGAACTGTCGTGCGCTAGGGCGATGGCTCCTATGCGAACATGCATGGCTCCGTCCGAATCAAAAGTATGCATCTCGATCCCATCGCACGTGAACGATATTTCTAGTCTGTGCATGTACTTGAGCGCTGGAGAACGCTTCTGTAATGGTGAACGCTGCACTGGCTTTACCTGTGAGGGCCTCACAATGGATCGGATAAAATCACTGATCCCTCTACTTACCCCCGACACTCGATTGAATAACACGTCAAACACTGCTTTGTCAAGGTCAAGTCTCCACTTGGTCACTGCAATAGTAGCAAAGAATTTCACTCCTGTATCACCACCTTCACTTGTGGCAAAAGATTTTTCTTCGAGACTGCATGTCACGTTGAGCGGCGACCAAAAGGTCACCACATCTGAGAAATGTGCTACACGTCCCGCCACACCACCGATATGTCTTTCGAATGGGCCTATCTCATTGCACATTTTATGAGCAGAGACGAACTCATTAAACTTCAGCTGAGCAATGTGACCCGTAATCTTTCCGGCTCGACATCCGATCCGCAGCTGTGACTGGCCAAACCGCCGTGCTTGAACCGTGGCTCGCCTCGGCAAGACCCTCGAGTTGAACGGAGGGTAGCCCAGCCCATCCAGCGAAATGTCATTTCGCACGGCAGATGCCACTGACAATGATTCTAACACGACAAATGCATTCCCTGATACTGGCCGTGCTAACATAATACCATCCATGAGAAATTCACTTGGGAGGAACAAGCGAATGCAACCAAACAAAACAGACACTTCTATGGTTGCCAAAGATACGCAGGGGACAGCATCAGGTAGAGATGGAGCTCTTGTGGTCGAATCATCAAATTTGCTCACTCTAGTCCTGCTCTTTAAGCTGAATGAGCTGGCCGACTCATCACCCACGTTCGTTAGTGAAGCGAGGCAGTATAGACTTGACGTTGTCACGGCAGCGTCCACGCTCTCCACGGAACCCGCAAACACATGACGAGGGAGGCCAGCCTCACTGTAATTGCGATAAAATACCGAAAGCAGCGGGAAAGGGGAAGCTGTCAACGCTGAGTCAATCCAGGACATGATAAGCGGGATTTCTGCAGTGAAGCTCTTTCTTGTAGCCTCGCTTCGCAGCTGTTTAGCATGTGCTTCATGGAATGACTTAGCCAAGCAGCTTGTTAAATGCCACGACAGCATCGCAAGTGGCAGCGATTGCTGGTCCGATATGAAAGAATTTGACACACTTATGGCCTCGGTAAGACGTTGCAAATCCGACAAATCTAGGCATACCAAAATACCCAGAAATGCGTGCTCTTGTAAGCACGAGAATTCACCGAACGCAGTGTGAATCTCGCGCCTCACATTTTGGAGTTTCTCCACAACCTGGACATCACCCACAGTCGCCTGCAAATCTGTAAAGCTCGTGCATCCTGTAGCTGGGTGGAGGTCGTTCCGAGCGGGATGATGGTTGCCAACACGGGCAGCCACAGCAAAATTTACTATCTTGCTATCCACAACCACCCTGGTTCGTTGACTGCGGTGAACCGACTGACGACTAATTTCAGCCGTGCATGCAATACCGACATGGTCTACCTGAGCACCCAATCTCCAATACCACTGACTGTACGTATTTTCTCTGCTACCAATCTCGGATTCATCAGGCTTTCGCTGCTCTGGATCTTGATCAAACAGCAAATTCCTTGGCTCTGCTTTAGCCTCACTGATATAACGCTTTAAGAGATACATAAGCTACACGACAGCCATAACAACGTAGCTTTGTGATTAGTGTACACGGCGAACGGCAACAAGAAGCTTTGAAGAATCGTTGGTTCCCATCGCGGCCAGATGGACAAACTTCGATACGAATAGCGTACCTTCAATCGAGACAGCGATGCCTGAATACTTGATACGCAAAGTGTTGTATCCACCGCGAACGCGTGACGGCAGTCGGCGAGACTGTGCGAAATGTCGATCGACACATGAATACCCTGAATACTTAGCACGTTCAAGTCTTCCACGTCTTTGAGGACACCATTTTCAGATGCGCTTATTGTCACATCTTTCATAGCACATTCGACCTTAAGAGCCCCTCCAGCTCTTACATGGGCTAGCTGTCCTGCGTCCACGTTTACTGACGATACGGATAGTAATGGCACCTTCAGTTGGAGCGCTTCGTTCAAACGTATGTCTGCACCGGCAGCTTTCAGGTTAATCTTGAAGCTCCAATCAGCCAAGCCATTTTCTAAACCATCCTTTGCCATTGCATTTCGTTCGCAGTCTTCCCCTTGGGGACCCAACTCTTTTGAGGCGGCAGATTTGCCTTCACTCCTTGCACAAGACTCAAAGTAGCATCTACGGTCTGTAACACACCTTGCACGTCCACGAACACTCGCGCAAGCTGCGCATTCATCGCAAGATGGTAATGCACACAAGCTGCTGCAAAAGGTCCATTGATCATAGAAAAAAGACCAAGCGGGTGAAGGAGCGATAAGGCATTTAGTGCACCCGATGACTGATCTTGCAAAACATCAAGCTTCAATAGTGGCGTAGTCAACCCCGTTGTACCGGCCGTTGTCGGGGCAATACCGCCTTGCAGTATGACTTCACTTCTGCGTCCTGCCCTTGTCATATTGGCGCTGATTGATGCAGCTCCAGCGCTGAACGATTGGCGCTGAGCCATCACCAGCCTGGGTCGATTACAAACTGCTCCGGAAACCCCAACCCCGCACGCTTCAATCTGAAAAGCAGTTCGCAACACTTTCGGCGTCAGAACTAGTGGTTCCCACGTAACGGGGTATCCAAAAGGGCTTGCTATGCTGTTTATCATTGACGCAACATCCTGCGCGGCAGACGTACTCATACCGAGCTTCAATTTGGCCAGATTCGCGCATAAACTGACATTGACGTCTCCATCAGCTGAGCTATTCATGACTGAACAACTCAACCCCAGTGCTTCTACAAGCGTCATCGGCGTGAGTTGACTCGATGGTCGTGTCAAATGTACGGATAACGTGCCAAGATATTGACAGCGCTCATTGCGACCCGGATTACTGGCTCCTGACCACGCAAAGTCGCGCGCGATAACAATCAGATCATTACAAGCACTAGCTTCCAGCTCATCTTCCTTCTTTTCTGCTGCAGAGTGATCTGGCAGACATATATGGATACTGCTAACCGTGACCAACTTAACGTCCTTTTCCAGGACAGACTTAGTACTGTGCGCCGCATGAGGCGTGTCTGATATCATAGACCTAGAATTTGCGGTCTCCGTCGTGCCCTTGTTAGCTCCGCTACCACGCACGATAATGGACAGCGCTTCCAATATCTCCGAACATTTTGATGGATCCAACATAGCACGAACAGCGCCGATAGATACGTCCGACACCTTACAAGACCTTTTCTCGTTCGTATGACTGCTGGCCGATGGTTCGTTACGATGCGTGGAGGTTGACGTTAATGCCAAGTGCAGGCGCAGTGCCGAATGAAGACTCCGGCATCGAACATTGGTGCCGTCAGACGACAAGAAGAGCGAAGACGCTGAACACGAGTGTAGTGTGTAACGAGCGAATAGTGAATTCAATTGGGGCTGGAGTAGACGGGTCAGATTGTCCAGAGCTCCGACATCGGGATTCCGGAAGACGCGATATTCCTTCACGAGCGAGACAAGGGAACGAGTCATTCCCTCTAAAAGTACAATCGAGCAGTCATGGGAAGCCCAAGCGGTGGATACGGCATTTGATAAGATGCCTTCGTCGAGAATTCGCTCCTTTATTCCAATGATCCTTATCGTGTCATGACAAATTAGAGACAAAGTGGCTATCGGGACACAAGGAATACGCTCGCCATCCCATATTGTAAAACACTCACAAGGAAGATCCAAATGTCCCCCCAAGTTTCTACTGGGTTCCAACGTTTTCCAAGTAGGAACACCAGCATCCAAACCCACTTTGATAATTTCAGAGCTCCGCTCTTCACGTCGATTCCATCGTGTTGCCTCTTCGCCAAAAAATGAGTTGGTGAAGTACGGATGAGAGACATAGTCGGGGACGTGAACTGAATCAGTTGAGCCCCACGTGAGCAAGATCTGCCCTTTTTTACATGTCAAATCTTCTCGATTTTCGCTGACTGTCACCGATGTCAGCTCGACCTTATCGATTTCGAGCACCAAATCGAGTCCATTTTGTTCTCCGTTGCGTGGTAGAAGCGCCTCAATCGCAACGTAGCTGAGATGTATGCTCAAAATAGGTACGGCTGGTCGAGCTACTTTTCTTCTTGTCTTTTGCGCCATAACCCTCACCATACCGAGGTTTGCTACCGGAACAAGCTCTTCTCCGCTTTCGGTGGTCGCAAAGTCTTGATGCTCCACTTCTTGACCCGCACTTTCATGCTTCCGCAACATCATAGATGCCGAGCTGATGCACAGCCGTACACAAAATATCTTAGTAGCTGCATCATTGATGACCAGTGGATCCTCATCACCGTGGTTGCTTGGTGGCTGTACCTTAAGCAAGGCCATTTTTGTCTCGGCAAGCAGCTCAGAAACTAGTGCATCCTCTTCTTTTTCATCTCCAGCTGTACCTAGAGCATTTATCACCCAGCCGAGCCATGACTCTTGCTTCTTAGCAACGCGGTTCATCTTTTTTCCTCCGCTTGGATTCACAACAGGAATAGCAGGAATGTGAGAAACAGAGGGGCGCTTTGCTTTCTTGCCACCGCTTGGTACGTGATCTGGACTGCGTCCTTGGAACGGCAGCTCGTGAGACTGTCTCATCTTGCCGCTTGCGCTCTTGATTAGCTGATTCAGCATTTCTAGTTGGCTGTCGCTAACGGAGAAGGACAGTTTACCAATGAAAACATCCACCTCGTACATGGGTGTCAAGCGTGAGCGACGGCACGAGTAAGGGTAGAACGGGTCGCACAGCTCAGACGGTCTATATGCACACAATCCGCCTTCATCAAACATGCTGCTTTCAGCGACATTATGATTCGCCGTACTTCGTTGTTGGTGCACAGGGGACCTTGAAAAAATAGGACTATTGCTGCGATCATTCTGGCCGCCGCTCGCGATGGTAGAGAAGAGCTGCAACTTGGCTCGGACCGAAGCCGACGTCCGGCTTAGCACCGGCACCTCGTAACCAATCACATTCCGCCGCACGGGGTCTCCCGCCGTGCTATGTTTGGTACTCATGTACCGATCAAGAAAAATGGTAACATCTTTGGCGTCAACACTTTTACGGATCACGCGTTTTTCTCCCTTAAGCTGGTCAAAGCATCGTTTCCACCCGCTACTCTCACTTGCAGAATAAAAGTCCAAAGTCTGTTGCCCACAGAAAAAGAAAAGACACACGTTTATCCCCCGCAACCATTTCGTTCGAACAACTCATGAATAACAATACGAGCACATACCCCCAGCGCAATGGAGAACACAATGTCATCATGCTCGTACTTGAGCACGAGGTTGTTCACCTGGACGCTAATATTGGACAATATCGTCTGCAAAGTGTCGTGAATCCATCCAGACTTAGGATGCTCCATCTTTGACCGCTCTTCCTCCTCCTCTTCTTCTTGTTCCTTTTTCCCGACCGCTGCTGCTCCTGCTGTGCTCACCGTCGATCCTCTCGCTGCTCGCTGCTCTGGCTGTTCGTTCTTGGCCGTCAGGATGAGCTCAATCGTGTAGAGCTTCACCTCAATAGGATGAGACAGCAGCTGTGTCCAGGGAATGTGGATCCGCAGCTCTCGGATGAAGCCACGCGAGAAGTCGAAGCTCGAGGGAATGTCGAGACTCTCGCGCAGCACGTGGCGCTTGATTTTGAGGTCGTTGAGCACGAGGTCGCCGCCAAAAAGCCCCAGTCGCTCCAGCTGGATGTCCTCAATGTACTTGCTCAAGTAGAACTGGAGACTCTGCGCGATGTAGCCACGCAGAGGCGACAGCAGGTCCAGCATCTTGACGCGCTGTGGACACGAGGAGTGCGTGCGCTTGTCACTTGATGCGCTTAATGTAGCCAATCAGCGCGATCGAAATAGTCACCGACACCGCAATGTCAAAGTTGAGTTTTGAGACGTACTCGTTTTTAGTGGAAACGAGACATTATTTCGCATCCACATTTATCGTAAAACTGAAGAGCGACTCTAAGGCTTACCCTTTATTACAAGTGATCCAGCTTGGAAATGGATTGAATCGGAAGAAGCAGTAAATAGGGGCGGCTAACGACGATGCAGGCGTGTGATGCTGTTGATATGCAAACGACACTGGTAGGGTATGTCCCGGTCAACGTGGGAAGCCATTGCCCTTGCTCCTTTCGTTGTGCAAGGCTTTTTTGAATCTCTCACTATGTAAAGCCTATCATACCGACTATCCCATGTCGGTATCGAATGCGTCGACCTCTTAATAGTTTGTGAGAACCAGACCAAGTGTTCTCACTCGCTTCTTTAAGCTTGCACGGGCACGATTCTGCGCTCGTCCCTTGTGTATCACGATATCATGATCCAAGCGGAGGGGAATCTGCGTCTAGGTGTGCTAAATTTATCGTCAGAGGTCACGAATGCTGATCCCGGAATATGTTTGAACGTCCCGAAATACAATGTCTCTGATCACGCCGCTGCTCTGATTCGTCAGTCTGATACCCTGCCAAAGATTGGTCGTCAACTTCATATCCTCAACCTATTCGGAATGCGGCAAGCTCTCTAGTCCCCCCTCAAAGCTTGCCAAAGCCCATTATCTTCGATCAGGATAGACGATTGGCAGCTGTAATGCTGATGGCATTCTTAAAGCTTGCCCTGCATTAGTCCACTGTAACGATAAGCTTCAGCATTATCCTCGGAAAGACAAAGCGAGTCTTTAAGTGCTTCTCAAGTGCAACACCCTTGTTGTCGGTTGTCGGTCATGAGACGCTCTCACTAACTTTATCAGCATTTTATTTGATGAAGTCGATCAGCGGGTCACGAAACTGAACCTAGCGGAGGTCGCTGTAATGATCTTGCTGTCATAATACATGATTGATTTTACAGCTTCTAAAACTAAGCGTAAGCCATGTATAAATTGTAACGGGGTAGCCCGTTACATGATATTTACACCAAACTGTGTCAATATGGGGGGGGGTTGTCTAGCGTGACAATTCCCTACCAATATACTCGAGGTGGATAATATCGAAAGACTGTTATTCCCTTTAAATAATGTTCATGCGCTGCGCAAATATCGGTTATTAAAAGACATATCGACCAAGGTTACCACCAATCGCTGCTGGATGCGCGTAATGAGTGGTGAGCAGGTTGTCGTCATACGACAATGTAGATTAATGTAGTTGGATGAAGACCGAAGTTATATTGATAGATTAAGTATATTAAATACAGTTCTCTTCTTACCATTTGCTCAACCTAGTTGTTAAGTAGACTAGCTCCCTCTGCACGTACTAGTGTACGTGAAGTTTCGTAGCACCCCAAACAAAGGGTGCCCTGTTACATAAATGGTTGGTATATCGGACTTGATGTACAAAGCGTACCCGCCGACCAAAAAGTTTATCAACCAGTATCACATTTTTCGGCACCTTCAGAAGGTATTTGTCGTTCATCTGTAGTACGTGGGGTGTAGTGCGTGTGTAACTGGGTTAGCCTGTTACGTGCAATTAACCCTTGATACTTATTGATTAAAATACAATCATAACGATTAATGACGTTCGTGGATATTACCATAAGAGGTAACATTCCGAAACACTCACGGATTGATTGATATAGGTCATCATATCAACCAGGTCTAGCGGTCCAATCAAAGATGGACGCGCGCAAATGAGTGGTAAGCAAGACTTGAGCATGCATTTTGTAGATAAGTATAATTAAGTTTAGACTAGAACATAGGGCAGTGATTAGGACTTGATTATATTTAGTACGTTTTTACTGTTACCAGCAACTAGTCCGTATTTAGTTGCGTCCCTTCCTCTAGTATATAAATAACAGAGGTAGCGGGGCACCACTCACGCTGCTTTCGGTGATAGTAGTTCCACATTACTTGTCTAGCGTGTTGCTCTGGTGCACCATTACACCTGGAGCACTTCGTAGTCCGTCCAAGGACCACAAAACCCGTTCAACATGAACATGTTGGACGATGAAGGTGACGACACCTTTCACAGCACCCATGGAAGTTACTACTATTTGAGTGATGTCGAATGAAGTGCGATCGAACGAATGAGTTCGACGATTGGCGAAGAAGCTTTCAGGTCTCTGCTATATTCAAGGGATATGGACCAGCAGCATTCCGTAATCGCCAGGTTCTTACAACAAGCACTTGATGTCTCGCGAGCTGAAGTGACCCTACTGCATCAGCGAGGTTACTATCAAACTAAGCTCCTGAGACAGCAGCATTCGATTCTTCTTCTGCGCGTCGACGCGTGAGCGTAGACGCAAGACTTGAAAATTAGCAGCCTCCAAGTACCAGGGAGTAGAGGAAGACTCTCTGTTGAGATGGTTTCTCGAAGTGGACGAAGTAACTAAGGCTTGCCACATCGGCGCTGAGGAAATGCAAGCTGTATTTGCCATATATTGAATTTCACCGGACTCTCCAGAACTTGGGCTTTATATTTATGATCACACAATCCACGTTTAGATTTATAGGTGGTCTTTAAATATCTGTTCTGCCAAACGTTTAAGACGCCAAGAGCTGGGCTCAAGACTCTTCCAGAGCTCCTGAAAATTAAAAAGGTAAGCGTGACGTTCACGCTTATGTTCAGTACCATAGTCACCTCGCAAGTTGCATGTTAGCGAACTCTGTTAGTAAATTCGTGTTGATCACGATACTTTTACAGGTCCTTGCAAATTGCCCCATGGGGGAAACGCCTGTTCATCATCGAGTATAAGTCGTTTAGGGAAGCGATTACAACTGTGGTGCAAACGAATTTGGTGTGAGACAGGCTCACACTAGCTTCACCCCTCATCTTCTTTCGAGACGAGTAGAGGCGAGTGGTCAAAAAAGGGACCTCTGCAGTGTTGAGAGCGAAAGGCCTCTCTTTTCAAACAAAAAGCTATTGCAAAATTGCAATCGCTGTCAGAAGTTACGGCACTTCGCCTTCGAGTGTAGTCCTTCACGCCCAGCGCCTCGAAACTTTAGCGAAGTGATCGACAGTCTTCCAAGAAGGGCAAAGGGCGCGGTCCGACGCTGTTGCAAAGTCAAACCAGCTTGGCGGACTCTCCAGAACTTGGGCTTTATATTTATGATCACACAATCCACGTTTAGATTTATAGGTGGTCTTTAAATATCTGTTCTGCCAAACGTTTAAGACGCCAAGAGCTGGGCTCAAGACTCTTCCAGAGCTCCTGAAAATTAAAAAGGTAAGCGTGACGTTCACGCTTATGTTCAGTACCATAGTCACCTCGCAAGTTGCATGTTAGCGAACTCTGTTAGTAAATTCGTGTTGATCACGATACTTTTACAGGTCCTTGCAAATTGCCCCATGGGGAAACGCCTGTTCATCATCGAGTATAAGTCGTTTTTTAGGGAAGCGATTACAACTGTGGTGCAAACGAAGTTTGGTGTGAGACAGGCTCACACTAGCTTCACCCCTCATCTTCTTTCGAGACGAGTAGAGGCGAGTGGTCAAAAAAGGGACCTCTGCAGTGTTGAGAGCGAAAGGCCTCTCTTTTCAAACAATAAGCTATTGCAAAAGTGCAATCGCTGTCAGAAGTTACGTCACTTCGCCTTCGAGTGTAGTCCTTCACGCCCAGCGCCTCGAAACTTTAGCGAAGTGATCGACAGTCTTCCAAGAAGGGCAAAGGGCGCGGTCCGACGCTGTTGCAAAGTCAAACCAGCTTGGCGGACCGCAAAAACGGTCGGGGTCAGTAGGGCGGAGAGTCCTACTGATCCAGCAACCTCACAAGGATTTTAAAACCTTTTTAAGAATTTTGATCCAGACTCACAGTCGCTGTGTGTCTCTGCACTTGTTGATGAGGTCCCCCTCATCACCTTAATCTTGGAAGTGACAAAATAATTATCACCTCGTGCCTTAATGAGCTGTGAGGCGTGGAACAACTTTATTTGTCTACCGTCGATAGAGGACCGTAGGCTCAATTTTGTTGAGCGCGATGTTCCTCCTACGAGGATGGAGGTGCGTTTTGCAACAGGGACATCGACAGCAGTTATGGAACGCATAGTGAGATGCAACTACGCGTTAGAACATTCGGAGTACAATGATAATTTCATCGTTCTTAATTTGGATGAAAAGTTTGGTGTCATCCTAATGTTACCCTGGTTCAGAAGGTTACGAGACAAGGATCACCTGGCAGCATCAAACCGTGAAGATGCCTGCCGTTTGTTCTATCAGATGGCCATCTGGTGAACGTCTTGGAGCGTGAGCGTCCACAAGCGTGTGGATGTACTGCGAGTGATTGTGATTGCCTCACTTGCGGTACGGTCGATTAACGACTACACAAAAACACAGTGTGACAACAAATCGCTCTGTGGATGAAGCTCCCTGCGGCTGTGCGGGTGCACAGCAGCAACGAAGGTTTTCCACTAGAAAAAGTTATGTGGATCAGGATATGGTTGTGCGCCTAACGGGCAGCATCCAAGTAAAAACAAATAAGATGCCCACACAAGTCAACATGATGATCCTAGATCGGCTGGAGAGTCTATCTTAGAGGACCTATTTGTGGTAGCGCAACCACATCTGGACGAGAAAGAGGGAGTTGGTCCTTAGTACTTGAGGGGAATAAATTAAAGCATTTATTGGTGAAGTAATGAGTCCTCGTCATCCTCCGAGACTAAGCCCCCAGCAGCCTGTGGAAAAGGTTTCCAATGAAGAAAATCGTGACATAGAATGCCTTGTTAAGTACGGGTAGATTGTAGGCGCTTATACAGTTGATCTGATCGCATCTCCGAAGTTGACTACGGAGATCACTCAGCAGCCAACGCTAGAACCGAAACGGTTCTTAAATTATTTGATCAAATGAAATGTATTACCTTTTTCTAAAAAGTTAGGTTTACTAATTGTTTTATTATTTATTTTAATATATTATGAATAATTGATCGTTCTGCTTGAAAAATTGCTTGAACTAATTTTAATCTCTATCAATTAATATCAAAACGACTTTTTAATAAAATAAAAATTGTTTAAATTTATTAATTTTATTATCTTTTTTAAAAAATTTCGTAATTAAAAATTTTATGTGTTTTTACTGAGGGTTCGAAAAGTAATTATCGTTTATTTATTATTTTTAATTCAACTACGTTGTTTAGCTTCTATAGCTTATACTAGACGTTTCAAAATATAGTTGGTAATTTTCACCGAAAATGATAGCGGTTCAAGTTCGTTATAATTCAATTTAAAAAAAACTCAATCGAAATATGTCAACTGTTAATCAATTATTTTTTAAAAAACAAAAATGTATTAAAAAACAAAAAAGAAATAAAAGTCCGGCTTTGCGAGGTCTACGTTGTAACGGGGTGAATCGTTACATAACAATTTATAAGAAATTGTTAATAGAATATAACTATAAGAGTTATATTCTCAGAATATTGTCATAAGGACAAATATTCTGTAGCACTTACGAGTAGTTCCTAATTGGTTGATATAGGCCATTATATCAACCAACGAAGACGCGCCACGACAGACGCACGCAATGAGTGGTGAGCAGATAATTGATTTACACATTTGTATTTAGACATAGTTAGATGAAGATAAATAGTGATTTATTGCAGACATTAACTATACTAAATACAGTTCTACTTTTTACTCTAACCGAGTACTCGCTTCTTCTTACCGTCTTCCTCTGCACGTACGAGTGTACGTGAAGTTACGAGGCACCGCCTTATTCTGTCATCAGAATAAGTAGCTTGTACTGTCACCAGTACAAGCTTCAGGGTGCCCCGTTACACCTGGTAGCACTTCGTAGTCCGTCCAAGGACCGCGTTCACATCCAACATGAATATGTTGGATGATGAAGATGACCAAAGCTTTCACGCTACGCGTGACGGCTACTCCCATTTGAGCGATGTCGAATGGGATGCGGTTGAACGAATGGGTTCGACCATGGGCATCCATGCTGTTAGCGTCATGCTAGAGGCTCTTAATAGAGATGCCCAACATGCTACTATCGCCAAGTTCATTCAAAATGAACTTGACGCAGAACGCGAGAAAGTAGCCTTGCTTCACCAACAAGGTTCTCAACAAGCAGAGTTGTTGAGAGAACAGGGTGCTCAACAGTTTGAACTGTTGAGACAGCAGCAGGCTGCTGCTGGTGGGTCGATGCACTCGCGTCGACCCGAGACCTTGAAGATTGACATCTCCAAGTATAGGGGGTCGAAGAAGACTCCCTCTTGAGATGGTTCGTCGAATTGGATGACGCCATAAGGGCGCGTCGCATCGACGACGGGGATATGCAAGTTGCATTTGCCCAGTCAAATCTGGCAGGACGTGCCAAGACTTGGGCACTGGGGCTCAAGTTGCACGACCCATATGCGTTTGGGTCGTTGGAAGTCTTCAAGTCGCGGCTCAGACAAACGTTTGGACCGCCTAGAGCTGAGTTCAGGGCTCGAACCGAACTCTTGAAGCTCAAACAGGGTAAGCATGATGTGCACGCTTACGCTCAACATATACGACATCTCACGAGTTGTATAAGCTCCAATCCGGTGGGTGAACACACGTTGGTTTCGGTGTTCATGCAGGGTCTTGCGGATGGTCCCGTCAAGACTCACCTGTTCCGGCTTGAACTAGATTCACTAGAACAAGCCATTTCCATTGCGGAGCAGGAAGACTTCAGTCTGAGACAGGCTCACGCCAGCTCGACATCATATCGTCAACCGAGACGATATGACAACGGAGGTCCAGAGCCGATGGAACTCTGTTATGTAGAGAGCGAGAAGGCTCGCTCTACAGGCTACAAGAAGGTGCAGAGGTGCAACAGATGTCAAAAGACAGGACACTACGCTTACGAGTGTAGTGCCCCTCGTCCAGTGTCTCGCGACACTGGGCGTAGTGACCGTCCACCCATGAGAAAGGGGCAGGGACGAGGGTCCGCAGTTGGTGCAAAGACGCAACAACGGGATGGACCGTCAAAAAACGGACAGGATCAGTAGGTGCGGAGCACTCTACTGATCCAGCAACGTCAAGAGAATTTGTAGGCCTCTTGATGAAGGTTGCTCCCAACACACAAACGTTGTGCGTTGCTGCTCTAGGTAATGAGGTCTCACTCATTACCTTGAAACTCGAAGTGACGAATAAGTTGTCCGTTCGAGCTCTAGTCGATTGTGGGGCGTCCAACAATTTTGTGCGACGCCAATCGCTAGAATATGGTCACTTTAAATTCAGTGAATGTGACACACCTACGAGGATGACGGTACGTCTTGCGACAGGCGCATCCGTAACCGTCATGAAGCGTATAGTGAAGATCCACTATACGCTAGAAGATACCCAATATGACGATGACTTCATCGTATTGGATTTGGATGACAAATTTGATGTCATCCTTGGAATACCGTGGCTCAGAAGGTACGAACCACGGGTAAACTGGCAACATCGAACAGTAACGATGCCTGCCGCTTGTTCATCAGATGGCCATCTGATGAACGTTTTGGAGCGTCCACAAGCGTGTGGATGTACTACGAGTGAGTGCGATGGCCTCACTTGTGGTACGGTCGTTAGTACGACTGCACAAAACCTTAGTGTACCAAACGGTTACACTTCGGAGCAAAGTTCCGGCGGCTGTGAGGAAACACAGGCTGCGCCGAAGGTCCACCACTCGAATAAGTCGGGTGGACTGGGACAAAGATGTATCCCCAGCGGGGAACATCTAGAAGAGAAACAATCGATCGCTCAGGTTAAGCGAAACGATAATCCTAGATCGACTGGAGAGTCTTTCGTAGAGGATCTCGCTGTGGTTGCGCAACCACAGCTAGAGGAAGTAAAGGGAATAAGTCCCAAGATTACAAATACGGCGGAAATAAGTTCCCCGAAACCCGCGGGAATAAGTCCCCGGGAAGACGAAGGAATAAGTCCTTCGAAGCCTGAGGGAATAAGTCCCCAGGAACTGACAGAGACATTGAATGTCATAGTCAATAACGGATCAAGTGTAGGCGCTTATACACTTGATCTGATTGCGCCTCCGAACTTAACTTCGGAGATCACTCAGTTGCCAACGCTCGAACATAAAAGGTTCTTGCGTGATCTGCGTAGTGGCAAAGTCAAGCAAATCTGCATACTCGTCGCTGACGACGAGTGTGTAACCGACATAAGGTCAGCAACAGTGTTTACTGAGAACGAGAGAGTTCTCAGTAGTTCATCTATGGACGAGAGTGTCCTAGATGAAAAGACACGAATTGAGCGATATGACTCCCAATCGTGGGAATCGCTCAAGAAAAATCCTCTCTATGAAGATTTGGTTGAATTCAAGGATGTATTCCCTGAAACTGTTCCGTGCGAATTACCGAAGGATAAATGTATTCGACACGAGGTCGAGCTTAAACCAGGCTCGAAGTACTGTGTCATGAAGCAGTGGCCACTGCCTCGTGAACAAGTACTTGCGATCGACAAGTTCTTTGCCGATCGTTTAGCTGCGGGCCGTGTGAGGGAATCAACTTCCCCACATAGCTCTCCGACCTTCTGTGTGCGAAAAGCAACAGGAGGGTGGCGGATAGTGCACGCGTTCAACAAATTGAACGCTGCAACGGTACCGGCTCAGACGCCGATACCGAGGAAGGACGTAATCATTGATGGTATGTCAAAGAGTACCATCTTTTCGTCCATGGATTTGATGGATGGCTTCTATCAAATCCTTATGCGGGAACGGGATATACCCTATACCGCAGTTAGCACGCCTAGCGGCATGCTCTGGGAATGGCTAGTTATGCCACAAGGGCTCAGTAATGCCCCTGCCACGTTCAACAGATGTGTATCACATCTGTTGAGACCAGTACGAGAATTCGCACCGAGTTATTTCGATGACGTATTCATCCATAGTCGAGCTATGGATGGAAAGTCGGACGTTGAGGTTCACAGGTACCACGTCCGACAGGTTCTTACAATCATGCGAAAGCATCAATTGTATGCAAACCTCAAGAAGTGTATATTTGCCGCAAGCGAAATACCACTTCTTGGGTGCATCGTTGGTAAGAACGGTGTACGTCCTGATCCCGAAAAGATCAAGGCGATCACCGACTGGCCTGTGCCGGTTGATGTCAAAGGTCTTCGAAAATTCCTTGGGCTAGCGGCGTATTTGCATAAGTATTCACGCAATTACGCCGAGATGACTGTGCACCTCTCTCGTTTGTTGAAAAAGAACGAGAGGTGGTTATGGAACGCTGAATGTCAGCGCTCCTTTGATGGTATCAAGCAGAGCTTGATACAATCCCCAGTCCTAGCAATAGCCGATCAGGACAGGCCATTTCATGTGGTCTGTGATGCCAGCGATTTCGCAATCGGCTGTGCATTAATGCAGTACGATCTTGAAGGCGTTGAACGCGTCGTCTGCTATCAGTCGCGTCAGCTGCAACCAGCTGAGCGGAACTATCCAGTGCATGACAAGGAACTCCTTACCATGAAGTATGCACTCGAGAAGCTCAGAGTCTATCTATTAGGAGATAGACCCTTCATTGTTTACACTGACCATGCGTCATTACGCACGGCAGTGAACAGCCCGCACCTTTCACAACGAATGGCGCGGTGGTTGTCATTCTTTGCGGAATACAACTTTACGGTCGAGTACAAACCAGGACGACTTAATGTCGTCGCTGATGCACTCTCACGTCGTCCCGACTTTGAAACAGTCGCGAAACCCAACAGTGAGACAGTCACTGTTGCGGTTATGACGTCCTCAGTCCCATCTACAACGTTGTATGATGATGTGAGGCGGGCATACGCCCAAGATGGTGAGATTGTGAAGTTGTTGACACATCTCTCACAGCCATCTCGAGAATCGTTGAAACGATTATCGTCTGCGTATCGATCTGCATCATACCGATTCACTACTCGCAACGGTTTACTGTATTATACAGCCGTTTCTGGTGACACACCACGCGTTGTCATCCCAGATGATACTGATCTGCGTTTGCGGATCAAGTTTGAGTATCAAGATGCTTCTGTAGGAGGACATCGTGGCCGGGAGAAAACATATCTCACGGTGAGTCGAGACTTTACTGACCCCGCCAGTATCAGTTTGTGCGAAAGTATGTTCGCGCATGCGAAGTCTGTCAACGAGTGAAGTCAAGTCCTTCACTGCGTGCACCTTTACAGCCTCTACCGGTTCCGGCTGAGTGCTGGGAATCCATCTCAATGGATTTCGTCTTCGGGTTACCCAAAGACGCACGCGGGAATACGGGTATTCTCGTATTTGTTGACAGATTCAGCAAAAAGGTACACCTTGTGGCTGTACCAGAGACAATCACGGCAAGTGGCTGTGCTTGTGTCTTTATTAACACCATCTTCCGACTTCATGGGTTGCCCCGTGAACTCGTATCAGACAGAGATCCACGATTCACTGCTGATTTCTGGCGTTCCGTGTTCAAATCACTCGGAACGCGCTTGAAGATGTCGACATCTAATCATCCAGAGTCAGATGGTCAGACGGAACGTGCCAACCGTGTCCTTGAAGAGATACGTACACTCCTTTAAGAGTTGGAGTGAGTTTTTGCCAATGGTAGAGTTTGCCATTAACAACTCGGTGCATGCGTCCACGACACATACACCGTTTTACGTGAATGGCTTGCGCCATCCGCGTGTACCCACCTTACTAGAGTGTAACTCTGGTTTAAGGGGGGAAGGGACTCGCGTGAGCAAAAACCGAATTGGTTCACGCTCATCACGATCTGACGAAGAAGTCATTGCGTTTGATGCCGATATCGATAACATCGATATCGAAGAAGATGATGCCAGTGAGAGTGCGGAAGCCCTCACTGAAGAAGATGATCCCAGTGAGAGTGCGGAAGCCCTCACTGAAGAAGATGATCCCAGTGAGAGTGCAGAAGCCCTCACTGAAGAAAAGGTTGATGTTGCTGCAGTGCGCTCACAGCACACTGAAGCTAACGAGTCATCAGATGAGTTCATACTGGCTCGTGAAACGGTAGTCCGTTTTGTGCAAGACTCCATCGCCGAAGCGGTGGATAAGCAAAAGCAAAACGCTGACAAGAATGGAAGGGCAAACACTCTTTTATTTAATAAAGGTGACTTAGTCCTACTGTCTACGGTTAATCTACCAAAGCATGTAGTGACTAACTTGGGTAGCAGTAAACTACTACCCAAGTACATCGGCCCTTTTCGTGTATTGCACCGCCTAGGCAATGCATACACGATCGAATTACCACGTAAGATGCGAACGCATCCCACGTTTTACGTTGGTCGGCTTAAGCCGTACCATCAGTACGCTGCTTCTTCCGATGAAGAACGCCCTTGCGCTCAAGCATCTCGCAGAGAGCCTTGTGCTCCCGATGGTGGGCATCAACAAGGGTCTGAAGAGCAGTTATCTCAGCCCGAGACCGATCAACAATCCCACGAGCTACCCTTAGCTCGTCACGAAGAGATGTCAGAGATCTCTCGTTCTCGAGCTGAGCAAAGGCAAACTCAGCTCGATGCTTCGAGGCAGTGTCCGCCATTTGGAGACGCCTATTCCGCTCATGTTCGAGATCGTCGCGTAACCCTTGCGTTACGCGATCAAAGAAGCTCTCGGGAACACACCGATCCACATGATCGTGTGGAGAGCGTCTTTCCTCCTCCTCCACCTCCATTAGAGGACTCTCGCGGTGGCCAGCGCTATCTAGTTGAGCAGCTGTTGAACCACCGCGACGTGAACGGACGTCGGACGAGTTATCTCGTCCGATGGCGCGGCTATCCCCCGTCCTGGGATTCTTGGGAGCCCCGCTCCCAACTGATGATCGACGTACTGGGTCTGGTTGAGCAGTACGACGCGGCACATCCTGTGCCGCAGAAGGACCGCCGGAGAAAGTCTTCCCGGCACGGTCGTAAAGGGATTTCAGGTTGTCAATCCCTTCGTACATCTCAGTAGAGACACGTACGCGCCACCACGGGCTGGTAAGGAGGTAAGCCTCCTTAGGTGCTCGTGCAGAGTTGTTCACACAACATGGGCACGAGTCTCCCCAAGAGAGGCAGGGTAATCCTTTCTCCCTTGACAGACGATGCAGCTTGTAGCGTGCACCTGTCGGGGTTCGCTTTTCAAACTTATCACGAGCTTTGATAAGTTTGTCGTTCCAAGCGTCACGACCTACATCCTCGAGGTTATGGATGTAGGCGTTCCACGCCTGAAGTAGTGAGGGACCATCACGTTTGTGATTCCCACTGTACCATCGATGTCTAAAGAAAGCATCGATGAAGAATTCATGTTCAGCGCGATAGTTTTTCGCGCTGGGGTCAAGGTGATGGATCCTTGACGAATCGAACAATCGTGTTCGATAACGATCACTCGTCGTCGCCGACAAGTGATCCATGACGGATTTTAGAGGCATCCATGCCTTCTTTTCTGGAGCGAGACGCAAGACATTGCGGTCCCGCTCTTCCTGCGACGTGCCGACAGAAGTACTGGCACCTCGCTGTGAAGTGGTGTCCATAGGAGAACCGACACCACTATTAGCGCCCGAGTCTCGCGACCTCGAGCGCCTTCGCTTCGGCGATGGTTCATCTGATTCATCAGATGAACCAAAGATGCTGTGACGCAAAGCATCATCCATGCCACGCTTGGCAGGCGGCTTAGATTCAATCGCCGTCGATACGGATCCGTCATCCGTATCAGGAGAGTACGAGACACCGAGCTCGTACTCTGTGAAGACACGAGTGTCTTCATGACCAGCGCCTGCATCACCAAGTGACACAGGCTGGGTCGCTTCAGCAACAGATGAGACATCAGTTGCTGTTGTTTCTGCTTCGGCGTCCGCACAGAGACGTGCGGACGCGCTCTCGGCGGCCTTGCTCGCGCATCGCATGGGCTTGTTTACCATGCGATGAGATGTTGGAAAGTGGACGCGGACCAACAAGTGCAAACCCTGTCCCAAATGATTTGGGACGAGTATCCATTTAGTCAATCAGTCACTAAAGTGACTGATGGTTAGGGGGTGATGTAACGGGGTGAATCGTTACATAACAATTTATAAGAAATTGTTAATAGAATATAACTATAAGAGTTATATTCTCAGAATATTGTCATAAGGACAATATTCTGTAGCACTTCCAAGTAGTTCCTAATTGGTTGATATAGGCCATTATATCAACCAACGAAGACGCGCCACGACAGACGCACGCAATGAGTGGTGAGCAGATAACTGATTTACACATTTGTATTTAGACATAGTTAGATGAAGATAAATAGTGATTTATTGCAGACATTAACTATTATAAATACAGTTCTACTTTTTACTTTAACCAAGTACTCGCTTCTTCTTACCGTCTTCCTCTGCACGTACGAGTGTACGTGAAGTTACGAGGTACCGCCTTATTCTGTCATCAGAATAAGTAGCTTGTACTGTCACCAGTACAAGCTTCAGGGTGCCCCGTTACATACGTAGTGGTAAGGTCAAGCAGATCTGTGTACTCGTCACGGAGGACGAGTACGTGACCGAACTTCGGTCGGAACAAGTGTTTACTGACAACGGATGGGTTCTCAGCAGCTCATCTATGGACGAAAGTTTTCTCGATAGACTCGGATCGAGCGGTGCACAACTCAATCAAAAAGTCGCTTCAGAAAAAATTTTTATTTAAAGTTTTGAACGAATTTAAGGATATGTTACCTGGATCCGTACCATGTGATTTTTTTAAGGATAAAGGCACTCGACATAAAATCGAGCTCAAATCGGGTCCGAAGTACTGTGTCATGAAGCAGTACCCACTGCCTCATGAACAAGTACTTTCGATCAAAAAGCTCTTTACCAATCTCTTAGCTCCGGGTCATATGAGAAGGTCAACTTTCTTTCATAGCTCTCCGACCTTCAATTTGCGCAAGGCCACAGGATTATGGCGGATAGTGCACGCAGTCAACAAGTTTATTGCTACTGCGGTACCGAGGAAGGACGTGATCATTGATGGCATGTCAAAGAGTACCATCTTTTCGTCCATGGATCTGATGGATGGCTTCTATCAGATCCTAGTGCTTGAATTGTACATCCCATACATGGCAGTAAGCATCCCGAGCGGTATGATTTGGTAGTTGCTAGTAATGCCACAAGGGCTTAGCAACGCCCATGCCACATTCAACAGATGTGTCACAAATCTGTTGCTATCGGTGCGAGATTTTTCACCGAGTTACTTCGACATTGTAGTCGTCCATAGATAGGCTAAAGGAGGGAAAACGGACTTCGAGAGATAAACAGACGCGTTCTTCAGGCTCTTGCTCTTATGCGGATGCATAAGCTGTATGCCAACTTCAAGAAATTTGTAATTGCTGCTAGCAAAAGAGCACTTCTTGGGTGCATCATGGGTAAACACGGCGTACACCCTGATCCAAAACAATTTCGAGGGGATCACCTACTGATTTGTGACATTCTATGTCAAGGGAATTAGAAAGATCCTCGGTCTTGTGGCGCACTTATACAAGTACTCGCGCAACTACGCCGAGATGACCGTTCGCCTCTCTCGTTTTGAAAATGAGTGAGCAGTGGTCATGGGCCGCTGATTGTCAGCTTTCCTTTTTTAGGCATCAAGCAGGGCTTGATGCAATCGTCCATCTTGGTTATTGCAGACCAAGACAGACCATTCCATGTGGTATGTGACGCAAGTGTTTTCGTAATCGGCTGCGCGTTTATGCAGTACGATGCAGACGGAGCAGAGCGCGTCGTCTGTTATCAATCGCGTCAGCTATAAGCAGCTGAGCGTAACTACTTAGTGCATGACAAGGAACGACTTGCCATTAAGTATGCACGAGCGAATATATGCGCTGGTGTCCTTGGAATTAGGTCGTTTGTTGTCGATACGGACCATGCGTTATCACGCACGGCCGTAAAAAGCCCACACCTCTTGCAAAGGATGGCGAGGTGCCTTTCCTTCTTTGCAAATAACAACTAAAGTACAAACATGGACGACTTAATGCCGTCGCAAACGGGTTGCTGCGCCAACCCGATTTCGGTTCGCTGCGCAGATCAATAGTACCGTTGCAACACTAGTCAATAGTGTTCGTCTTCAACATTTCTTGACGACATAACGAGGCCTAAGCGAAAGATAAGGCTCTTCAGCGACTAAAAGATCATCGAGTGACTCCATCACGTAAATCTATCAACTAGTTATGGCTTGTATCGGTACTATGCGGATCGATACACAACACGCAACGGGTTGCTGTATTACAAAGCCGTTGCCAGCGATACACCTGGTTTATCGCCCCCTTTTATGAATTTGAGCTTGCTCGTCTTATACAAGTGCCATGATGCACCGCCTAGTGGGCGTTGTGGGCGTGAGAAGACTTATGTCACGGTCCGTAGCGACTACTACTGGATCCCGCCAGCCTAATCTTTTGCGCAAGTACACTCGTGCTTGTGAAGTGTGCCGACGATAAAAGCCTGAGTATACACCGTCGTCCCGTGCGCCACTACAGCCTCCTAACAATCTTGGCAGAGTGCAAGCTAATTCGTCTTAATGGACTTCGTCTTCGGTTTTACTGTAGACGCTTACAATAAAGACGGTATAATTGTGTTTGTGGACCGATTCTGCAAGATAGTAAATCTTATGCAGTTATAGATCTTATCTTAGTATGTGATTGTGCCCTAGTTTTTATTGACACAATGTTCCGACTCCCCGTTCTACCCAGTGAACTAGTCTCTGATAGAGATCCTCGGTTCATGGCGGCGTTTTCTGGCAATCCGTGTTTCGAGAGGTTTGAAATACACCAGTCTGGATAT